CTAGGAAGGTTCATTTGCGGGTTTTACACCCACGTTAAGCTCGGTATAATCGTTCCTTCCACTTACTATTTCCATACTTGAAACTTGTTGTTTTGTGCTTATTTTTGCTTGCAATCTTGGTTGAATTGATAGTTGTTGAGTATTTGTGCTTTATGTAAAGCATTATGGGTTTAATTGAATATTGTGAGGATTAATTGTTTAGGTTTTGTGAGTTTTTGTGATTGTGTGGATTATTCTTTGTGGTGTCCTTTGGTGTGGCTAAGTCTTGGGTTTTTGACCTTAAAATTACTTGGTGAATTGGTTTAGTGTCTTGATCTCTTTGTGTGGCGGGTTTAGTCATTCTAAATAAAACAAAATAAAAACAACCATGCCAAGAAGAAACCAATCCCGAAACACCTCTTCCCTTAGATTTAGGAACCCATCGCCTCCTCCTCCCGTTGATCCACCGCAAGTGGACACAATGGGAATAGTTTTCGCTGACCAGGCCTTTTCGGCCAATTTCCTTAAAATCAGTAGGAGGCGGGTCAAGCCCACCAAATTCTATGATAGTGAGGTGGCGGACGCCTTAGGGGTAGGAGCTGACATCACAATGTTATTCGAGGGAGCCGACCTAGGTTCTTGGCTAGAGTTACATGCCTTAACCTATAGGAGACTGACCCTAGAATTCCTCTCCTCCCTTTGTGTGCACCGTGACACCACAAGATCCCCCCGTTACATGACCTTCCAGCTCATGAATGCCCAACATAGAATGTCCGTAGCGAGAGTTAACCAAGCTTTCGGGTGGCCTGTTTCTGGAACTATGGGGCCTAAGGATAGGCAACCCCGTAACTATATGGCGGGTGAATTTTGGAGAAGAATCACAGGGATGTTTGGGTATAACCCTAGAACTGATAAGGCCACAGCCATTATTCACCCTGCCTTTAGGATCACCCAGCGTACCATAGCGAACACAGTTTTTGCTAGGGGAGACAGTTCAGGGGTCGTGTCTACTCGAGAGCTTTACTTTCTATGGAATCTGAGTGAGGGTAGTACGAGTTTAAATGTGGGGTCTTGGTTTATGGACCACCTAGAAGATGTTGCCATAGGATCAGGCAACATCACCATAGGTGGTATGATTACTATAATTGCTGCTGCTCTTAACCTTGATTTTGCAGAAGAGCAGGTTGTTCCAGGTCCAACACAGTTGGATATGCAGTCGCTGAGAGCCATGAAATGGCTCACGGATGTAGAGGGGAACCACCCCTATTTGTGGTTGGTGAGTAGGCGCCCCTATGCCTACTTACCCGACCCCGAGGCCACCGCCATCTACAACCAAGCGAACTGGATCTTTGAGAGGGACTTCCCTTGGGCTCCCGGTCAAGAGGGAGAGGAACAAGGGCAAGAGCAGCAAGAGCAACAACAACATCATCAACAACAACAATTTCAGCAACAACCAGAATTTCACCAGCAGTACGAGTTCCAACAAGGGTACCAAGAGGGGTACCAAGGTCAGGGCATGGGTGAAGGCAACCCATTCCTCACCTTCGAGCAGCAGATGGCTAATATAAATGCGAACTTCGCCCGCATGACTTCCGAGTTTGAGACAATGAGGAAGTCAAATGAAGACTTGAGGACTTCTTTTGACGGAATGAGGTCAAGCTTTGAAGGTCTTCGAACGGAATTGGGCGACTTCCGCAGTGTATATCACCATCTCTACCCCGGGGGTTCGAGCTCCCAAGGGGGCCCGAACCAATGAGTTAGTATCTCCTTCCCCTTCTCTTTGTGCTTATATTGTTTCAACATTGGGGACAATGTTTATGATAGCTTGGGGGGGGGAGTATTTTCTCATTTACCATTGGTTCATGCTGTGTTCTCGTACGTATATGTTGATTTGCATGCCCCTATTCCCATTTCCCTAACATCCAAACCCTTTGAATCCAAATTGCTTCCTTTGAAATCCAAATCCCTTGAATTGTGAATACTTCTCCTATCCCTTATTTAGATGTATAGTTATTTTATGCCTAGTAAAAAAAAAAAAAAAAAAAAGAGAGAAAAAAATGAAAAAAAAAATGATGAAAAAGTGCCCAAGGATGAAACTCATATGACGATTATATGTTTTGCTTGCTTGACTCTTGAGTGATGAGTAAAAGTTTTTTTTAGAAGAGTGTGTGCACGAGTTGGGGGTCATTTAGAGGTCTATTAATCTTGATTGCATTGGAGTATATGAAATGAAAGCCAATGAATGCTCAATTGCACGCCTAGTATAAGATATTGTCTAATTTGCTCAAGTAGGATATGTTTGAATAAATTTGTGGTCCCTTGTGCCCTTGATGTGTCCCCTTTCCTCCCCGAAATGAAACTCTATTAGGGAATTGGTTCTACTTGTATCATGTGTAATAAGTGGCGTAATAAGCCACACGTTCTCAATAAAGAAAGAGCCGCTCACAGTTAAAAGAGGCGAGGGCATTGAAAATTGAAAAAAAAAGAAGAGCATAAAAAAAGGGGAGAACAAAAAACTACCCCAAAACTTCTAAAAAAAAAAAAAAAAAAATTCTCTTCTTTAGAGGTCAACTCGTGGATGCCTCCCACACCTTGTTTGCATTGTTGTTTCTTATGAAATTCCCGAGTTAGAGTGTAGTTAAGGGGCCTTGGGTGTGCATTTTGGGAGGTGGACTAGCATTTTGAGATTTTATAACCGAAAGAGGGCTTGTTACAACTTTGGAATATCTAGGTGTGCTCTAATGAAATAGTAAAAGGCCAAAGGAAGTATCCTAGTGCAACCTTGTTTAGTTCTCCTCTCTACCCCCAACTCATGTGTACATTTGTATGATTGGTAATTCTTGAAAGTTGTTCACTTGTCTTGCTTTTGAATCACATCCCGATGAGTTGACTTGGGCTATAAAAAAAAAAAAATCGTGTGTTGTGTTTGTGGGAGTTGTGGGTGATTCTCTTTGGAAACCCTCACGAGAGATGGACTCGTCCTACTAGGCGACTTGTAGGTTTAAACGGCTTCTCACTTTTGCTAAAAGTGATCGTTCGGTTTATTGTGTATGCCTACCCTTTCTTGGTTTAACTTTTGCTTCAACCTTCTATAACAAGTTAGTTCCCTCTATTTGTTTTGTCATGACTAGTTTGCTCGAGGACGAGCAAAAGCTTAGCTTGGGGGGATTTGATTACTTGCTATTTTATGCGGTTTTAGGGCGTATTTGAACCTAGTTTACCTGAACAAATTTGTGTTTTGGTTCACTTTTACCCTATTATTATGCAATTTTTGTGTATCCTATGCTTCACGGGTTGTTAGTGTTTTTGTTGAGATTTTAGGTCCAAAGACGACCAAATGAAGCCCATGGTTACCAAACCGAGGTTAGAAGCAAGGAAATGATGGAAAGAATCCAAGTACAAGAGCATCGTAGAAGAAAACACGAAGAAAAGGGCCCAGAAGACCCTGCACGGCCGTGCAAGATGTTGCACGTCCGTGCAGGAGTGCAGACTTGAAGCCATCTTTCTGCCAAGGCCTGCACGGACGTGCCAAATATTGCACGTCCGTGCAGATGATGCAGCACGGACGTGCTTCAGTGATTATGAGGCAGCACGGCCGTGCAAGATGTTGCACGTCCGTGCAGGAGTGCAGACCTGAAGCCATCTTTCTGCCAAGGCCTGCACGGACGTGCCAAATATTGCACGTCCGTGCAGATGATGCAGCACGGACGTACCAAAGGTGCACGCCCGTGCTGCAGCAGGTCGTCTTAAACTGAGTTTCTGCCTTGGTCTGCACGGACGTGCCAACTTCAGCACGTCCGTGCAGACCTACAGTTTACCCGTTTCTTGTTTTCACCGTCCTCTTATTTTAGGGGGTAATATAAATAGCCCCTTTGGACCATTTTAGGGGGTTCCCAATTTTTCCAGATTTTGATACTCCTCTTAGTTTGAAACACAAAAATCCTCAAATTAGCATAGATTTTAGTTCTTGTTTTGAAGGTTTTTCAATCCAATCATTGTAGAAGACAAGTTCCACCATTGTTAGTCAATTATTGAAGCTTCTAGTAATTTTTTCTTACTCTTTCTTTCTCTCTTCTATCTTTAATTCTTGCTTTTTATTAATTGTTTGGTTGTTCTTTGCATGTTTAATTGTTAGATTCTACTTAATTCTTAGTTTTAATTTGTTCATGAATTCCTTGAAATCTTTAATTGCTTTAACCTCCATGGATTGTGAGTAGTCTAAATTCTAGGGTTTGGGTAAACCCTCAATGTAGTCACTAATTACTTGTTGCATGTGCTAATTTGGTTGTTGTGGGATGATGATTAGTTGAGCTTAAGTGGTTTAATTGCTTAGTTCTTGTATATGGCCATTGCTAGAACTATTTATCCAAGCTTTCTCAACGAAGGATCGAGAGATGAACTTGAGTTAGCTCCCTTATGCTTAATTGACCCGAAATGCCATGAGAATAGGGATTACCGGTCAAGGGAATGTTATGTCATCGTGATTATGCTTTAACACTTGTTTTATGCTATGTAACCACGAGAGTAGGTTATGGTTTTGATGTCAAGTAATCCCTCTAACTTGAGAGAGTAGTTGGGTGCATTTGATAACTTCCCCTAATTTATCCCCTAAATCACCATTTCTATGCATGCTACTTGTGGTCCGTGATGAAGTTTAGTGGTGTAACCCATGCCCTAGGCCTTCTTAATATTGTTAATCACCTCTTAGAATTAGTTGATTTGAATTAGAATAGTGTGACGTAATACCAACTTAAAACCCCCGACTTAATCTAGCTTGTTTAAACAATAACATTTGGTGGTTGATTCAACGCCTCTCATGGGTTCGACCCTTTCTTGCCCTTGCTACTAGTTGAGTAGGATCGAGTTAGGTCTTATTTCTTGATAGGTTGACGACGACCTATCAAGTTTTGGCGCCGTTGCCGGGGAGGCAAAGTCACATTGAATAAGTTATTGTTGAATGAGTCTAGATTTGTGTATATGTATATAATCTTCTTATTTTGTTTTTGTTTAAGCGTGTTTACTTTGTGATAGTCATTGCTAACGTTTTCCTTAGCTTTGTTTGACTGTGCATGACACGGAGGAGTAAGCAATCACCGCTTATCCCCGTAGATCCGGAGTTAAATAGAACTTTGAGGAACGTAAGAAGGCTCCTACAAGGCACGCCGGAATTTTCTCTAGCTTATACGGATTCCGAGTCGGAGGATAATCTTGACAACGAGCAAGAGATGGCCAACCCACCGCCTCCTCCACTTCTACAAGACTATGACCACCCCGATGCATTCCAACTTCGGAGTGGCATACTTCTTCCCACCACCAATGCAAACAACTATGAGTTCTCTCCTCAACTCATAAGGATGATCCAAAGTGAACAGTTCGGGGGGAGTGCAAATGAGTGCCCTCTAGCTCATTTAGACAACTTCCTTGAGTTGTGCACTACCATCAAGCAAAACAACCTCACGGAGGAATTCATTTGGATGCATATGTTTCGGTTCTCTCTTAGGGACAAGGCTAAGTGTTGGTTGAGGTCCGTGAAAGAAGGATCCTTAACAACATGGGAAGAGGTTACCAAAGCATTTCTTGGGAAGTTTTGTCCGCCCGAAAAGACCGCGGAATTGAGAAGGAAGATTACAAGCTTCACTCAAGAGGATGATGAAACCTTAGGTGAAGCATGGGAAAGATTCAAGGATCTAAAGAGGAAGTGTCCACACCATGGGTTGCCTTTATGGATGATTATTCAAAGCTTCTACGACGGTCTCACTCCTACCTCAAGGGCCAATCTTGACAACGGAGCCGGTGGTAGTCTTAAAAAGCTACCGGTGGAAGAAGCCGAGAATATGATTGAAGAAGTTGCAAGGCATTACGCCTATAGATATGATAGAAGAGAAAGTCAACCGAAGAAGAAAGGTATGCATGAGTTGAGTGCAATAGATCTCATTGCCTCAAAGTTTGATATGCTAGCTCACAAGCTAGACCAAGCAACCTCCTCAAGCGGTACCTCCTCTTCACAACCACAACCACAAGTCATGTCTTGTGAGACTTGTGGGGGTAATGATCACATGGCTTCATATTGCAATGCTACTAATGAGCAAGTTGCGGCCATGAACCAAAGAAATGAGCAACCTTTCAATCAAGGTTGGAGGCAACAAAACCAAGGGTGGAGACAACCCAATCAAAACCAACAATCCAACTACAACAACCCTCCTCAAAACATCTACAACCAAAATCAACAAAATCACCAAGCCCCATACCGCCATCCAAACCAACAAAGACAGCAATTCAACCAACAACCTCCTCCACCCCAAAAGACTTCCCTTGAGGCCGCTCTTGAGTCTTTCATAAATCAACAAGGGAAGAGCAATGCAGAAATGAGCTCCAACATCCAACAACTTCAAGCGCACAACAAAATAATTGAGAATCAACTAGCTCAAATTGCACAACAAGTTGGGAGTTCTACCTCCAATGCTAGTGGTCAATTTCCAAGCTCAACGGTTGTGAACCCAAAGGAGCATGTCAAGGCTATCACATTGAGGTCCGGGAGAGGGTATGAAGGTCCGGTAATGAGTGAAGATGTGCCACAAAAGAGAGATGAGGGTGTGGAGGTGAGAAGTGAGAATGATGTTGAAAATGAGGTGGTAGAAGTTGAGAGAAAAGAAAAAGAAAAGAGTGTTGAGGGAGACACAAAGAAAGGAGAGGGAGTTGAAGTTGAAGTGGAGAAACCCCCAATGAGAGTCTACAAGCCACCTATTCCTTTCCCTCATAGGTTGGTAGAGAAAAAATTGAATGAGAAGTTTTCAAAGTTCCTTGAGGTCATGAGAGGGCTCCAAGTGAACATTCCCTTTCTTCATGCTATGTCACAAATGCCTACATATGCGAAATTTTTAAAAGATCTCTTGTCCAACAAAAGTAGGCTTGAAGAGAGTGCAACCATCTCCCTTCCAATGGAGGTGAGCGCAATCATTCAAAACAAGCTTCCCCGAAAGCTTGGTGACCCGGGTAGCTATGCAATTCCGGTGAAGATTGGAGATATGGAAGCCATGGATGCTCTTTGTGATCTTGGGGCAAGTGTAAGCTTGATGCCCTTCTCAATTGCGAAAAATTTAAAAGTTGGTGAGATGAAGCCAACAAGAATCTCAATACAATTAGCCGATCGTTCGGTTAGGTTACCAATGGGAATACTTGAAGATGTACCGGTACAAGTGGGAAGAGTTTTTGTACCTTGTGACTTTGTGGTGATGGAAATGGAGGAGGACAACAAGGTTCCTCTCATTTTGGGAAGGCCGTTCTTGAACACGGCGGGAGTGGTAATTGATATGAAACAAGGCAAGCTAACATTGAATGTGGGAGATGAGAAAATTTCTTTCTCATTCTCGCAAGCCATGAGGAAGCCTATGTATGAGGATATCAATAGAATCGATACTCTTGACCGAGAAGTGGAGGAATTGAAGATGATGAACAATAGCAAAGATACTCTACAAGCGATCCTCACGGAAAGTTTGTACAATGATGATGATGAAGCTAAGGGGTACAAGTTGTTGCTAGACCAACCCCTACATGGCAAGGCAAGGGAGTTTGAAGCACTTAAGGTGGAGGTAAAAGAGGAGAGGTCTACGCCTCCTCCTAAGGTTGAACTTAAACCCCTTCCCCCTTCACTTAAATACGTTTTTCTTGATGATAATGAGACTTATCCCGTTATTGTCAATACCAACCTTGATGACACTTCCCTTGAGAAACTCCTAGTTGTGTTGAGGGAGTATAGGAGTGTCATTGGGTATGCCATTGATGACATTAAGGGGATAAGTCCCACGATATGCATGCACAAGATTTTGCTTGATAATGATCATGACTCCTCAATTGAGCACCAAAGAAGGCTCAACCCCAACATGAAAGAAGTTGTTAAAAAAGAGGTTTTGAAACTTCTTGAAGCGGGCATAATCTACCCTATCTCCGATAGCAAGTGGGTTAGCCCGGTTCAAGTTGTTCCAAAAAAAGGGGGCATGACCATTATCAAGAACGATAAGGGTGAGACCATTTCTACAAGGTCGGTCACCGGGTGGAGAATGTGCATAGACTATCGAAAATTGAACAAATCCACTCGGAAGGACCACTTCCCTCTCCCCTTTATCGATCAAATCTTGGAAAGGTTGGCATCACATAGTCACTATTGCTTCTTGGATGGGTATTCGGGATTCCTCCAAATCCCTATCCTACCCGAGGATCAAGAGAAGACTACATTCACATGCCCTTTTGGCACCTTTGCTTATCGAAGGATGCCATTTGGATTATGTAATGCACCTTCTACATTTCAAAGGTGTATGATGTCTATCTTTTCCGACATGCTTGAATCATCAATCGAGGTATTTATGGATGACTTTTCTGTTTGCGGTTCATCTTTTGACACTTGCCTAAGTAATTTGATTAAAGTGTTAAAAAGATGTCAAGAGGTGAACCTTGTGCTTAATTGGGAAAAATGTCATTTCATGGTTGAAGAGGGTATTGTGTTGGGACATGTTGTTTCTAGTAGGGGCATTGAGGTTGATCGTGCCAAAATTGAGGTTATTGAGCGCCTCCCTCCCCCCACTAATGTGAAGGGTATAAGGAGTTTTCTTGGACACGCGGGTTTTTACCGCCGGTTCATTAAAGATTTTTCCAAAATCGCTAAGCCGCTCACTCAATTGTTGGTAAAGGATGCCCCTTTTGTGTTTTCTAATGATTGTTTGCTAGCCTTTGATAGGTTGAAGGAAGCTTTGATCACGGCTCCCATCATTCAACCACCGAATTGGGAGCTCCCTTTTGAACTCATGTGTGATGCTTCGGACTATGTCGTTGGATCTGTGCTTGGGCAAAGGAAGGATAAAAAGCTCCATGCCATCTATTACACTAGCAAAACTCTTGATGAAGCACAAAGAAACTACACAACGACTGAAAAAGAGCTCCTAGCCATCGTCCATGCTATCGAAAAGTTTAGGTCTTACTTGGTGGGCTCCAAAGTTATAGTCTTCACCGACCATGCGGCTTTGAAGTACTTGCTGTCCAAGAAGGACGCTAAACCACGGTTGATTAGGTGGGTCTTGCTCTTACAAGACTACGATATAGAAATTCGGGACAAGAAGGGTGCCGAGAATGTAGTAGCCGATCATCTCTCACGGCTACCGATCGTAGAAGGTGAAATTGAAGCTTTGCCAATTGATGATTCATTCCCGGATGATCAATTATTCGCAATCATTCAAGCCCCGGCCCCATGGTTTGCGGATATTGTAAATTACTTGGCTTGCTCCATCCTTCCTCCCGACCTCACCTATCAACAAAAGCGGAAGTTCCTCCATGATGTCCGCCAATACTTTTGGGATGACCCCTTGCTCTTCAAACAAGGTGTTGATGGTCTTTTTAGAAGGTGTGTCCCCGACGATGAAATTCATGAAGTTATCACAATGTGTCACTCCTCACCTTGTGGAGGACATATGAGTGCTAACAAGACATTGGCGAGAATATTGCAATGCGGTTTCTATTGGCCCTCTATGTTCAAGGACGTATGGGGAGTTGTTAAAGCTTGTGACCGGTGTCAAAGGACCGGTAATTTGTCAAGAAAGAACGAAATGCCTTTGAATAACATTTTAGAGCTGGAAATTTTCGATGTGTGGGGAATAGATTTTATGGGACCTTTCCCATCCTCTTTTGGGAACAAATACATTTTGGTGGCCGTCGACTATGTATCAAAGTGGGTTGAAGCGGTTGCATCTCCTACAAATGATGCTAAGGTAGTAGTCAAGTTGTTCAAGAAAGTCATTTTCCCTAGGTTTGGTGTGCCACGTGCCGTAATAAGTGATGGAGGATCGCACTTTGCAAAGCGATCTTTCAAGGCTCTCCTTGAAAAATACGGAGTGAGGCACAAGGTGTCATTGGCTTACCACCCTCAAACAAGTGGTCAAGCTGAAATTTCAAATAGGGAGATTAAGTTGATACTAGAGAAGACGGTGAATAGGTCAAGGAAGGATTGGTCATCAAGGTTGGATGATGCTCTATGGGCCTACCGCACCGCCTTCAAGACTCCTATTGGCACCACCCCTTACAAGCTCGTTTATGGGAAGTCATGCCATCTACCGGTGGAACTGGAACATCGTGCGCACTGGGCTATCAAAACCTTGAATTTTGATATCCAATCCGCCGGAGAAAAGAGGATGCTTGACCTCCATGCCTTGGAAGAGTTGAGGTTAGATGCATATGAGAGTGCAAAGATCTACAAGGAGAAGACCAAAGCATGGCACGACAAGCACATCAACAAGAGAGAGTTCAAGGAGGGTGACAAGGTCTTGCTATTTAACTCCCGGTTGAAGTTGTTTCCGGGAAAGCTAAAATCAAGATGGAGTGGCCCTTTCACCATTACAAAGATATTCCCATATGGCGCCATTGAGATTTCCAACGACAAAGGTGAACCATTCAAAGTTAATGGCCAAAGGTTGAAAGCATACTTCGATGGTTTCGTGCAAGAAGAAACAAAGGTAGTTCATTTAGATGAATTTGATATCCCTCGTGATTGAAAACGTAATATGGTCAAGCTAGTGACAATAAAGAAGCGCTTCCGGGAGGCAACCCGAGTATTTTAGTAATTTTACTCAAAAAAAAAAAAAAAAAAAAAAGGAGAGTAAACGTGCCAAAAGCAGCAAGTATTCTGCCAAGTTAAGCACGTCCGTGCCAAAATCAGCACGTCCGTGCCAAAAGCAGCACGTCCGTGCCAAAAGCAGCACGTCCGTGCCGATAATGGCACGTCCGTGCTTTTACAGGCAGAAAGTTGAGAAGTATTCTGCCAAGTTAAGCACGTCCGTGCCAAAAGCAGCACGTCCGTGCCAAAAGCAGCACGTCCGTGCCAAAAGCAGCACGTCCGTGCCGATAATGGCACGTCCGTGCTTTTACAGGCAGAAAGTTAAGCACGTTCTGACTTGAGCTGCACGTCCGTGCCAATGCTGCACGTCCGTGCATACCAAGTATTTAAGGCCGAAACTGCTCGAAAAAAAGAAAAAAATCCACAATTTTTTTGTTCTTCCTCTCAAACCCACGGTTCTCCTCCTTCTCTCTAACCCCTCTTACTCCTCCTCTCAACCCTTAAACACTCAAATTCTCACCCAAAATTCAACATTTCCCACCATAATCAACACTCCTTTTCAACAAAAACGCAAAATACTACTCCTTTCTCCAATCTTCAACCCAAAAATCACCCATTAACCGAAACCCTAAGAAGAAAAAAATCAATTTGGGGGTTTTCTTTTGGATTGAAATTTTAACAATTGGTTGAAGGAAAAGGTTCAAGCAAGGGAAAGGAAGGCTAGGAAGGTTCATTGGCGGGTTTTACACCCACGTTAAGCTCGGTATAATCGTTCCTTCCACTTACTATTTCCATACTTGAAACTTGTTGTTTTGTGCTTATTTTTGCTTGCAATCTTGGTTGAATTGATAGTTGTTGAGTATTTGTGCTTTTATGTAAAGCATTATGGGTTTAATTGAATATTGTGAGGATTAATTGTTTAGGTTTTGTGAGTTTTTGTGATTGTGTGGATTATTCTTTGTGGTGTCCTTTGGTGTGGCTAAGTCTTGGGTTTTTGACCTTAAAATTGCTTGGTGAATTGGTTTAGTGTCTTGATCTCTTTGTGTGGCGGGTTTAGTCATTCTAAATAAAACAAAATAAAAACAACCATGCCAAGAAGAAACCAATCCCGAAACACCTCTTCCCTTAGATTTAGGAACCCATCGCCTCCTCCTCCCGTTGATCCACCGCAAGTGGACACGATGGGAATAGTTTTCGCTGACCAGGCCTTTTCGGCCAATTTCCTTAAAATCAGTAGGAGGCGGGTCAAGCCCACCAAATTCTATGATAGTGAGGTGGCGGACGCCTTAGGGGTAGGAGCTGACATCACAATGTTATTCGAGGGAGCCGACCTAGGTTCTTGGCTAGAGTTACATGCCTTAACCTATAGGAGACTGACCCTAGAATTCCTCTCCTCCCTTTGTGTGCACCGTGACACCACAAGATCCCCCCGTTACATGACCTTCCAGCTCATGAATGCCCAACATAGAATGTCCGTAGCGAGAGTTAACCAAGCTTTCGGGTGGCCTGTTTCTGGAACTATGGGGCCTAAGGATAGGCAACCCCGTAACTATATGGCGGGTGAATTTTGGAGAAGAATCACAGGGCTGTTTGGGTATAACCCTAGAACTGATAAGGCCACAGCCATTATTCGCCCTGCCTTTAGGATCGCCCAGCGTACCATAGCGAACACAGTTTTTGCTAGGGGAGACAGTTCAGGGGTCGTGTCTACTCGAGAGCTTTACTTTCTATGGCATCTGAGTGAGGGTAGTACGAGTTTAAATGTGGGGTCTTGGTTTATGGACCACCTAGAAGATGTTGCCACAGGATCAGGCAACATCACCATAGGTGGTATGATTACTATAATTGCTGCTGCTCTTAACCTTGATTTTGCAGAAGAGCAGGTTGTTCCAGGTCCAACACAGTTGGATATGCAGTCGCTGAGAGCCATGAAATGGCTCACGGATGTAGAGGGGAACCACCCCTATTTGTGGTTGGTGAGTAGGCGCCCCTATGCCTACTTACCCGACCCCGAGGCCACCGCCATCTACAACCAGGCGAACTGGATCTTTGAGAGGGACTTCCCTTGGGCTCCCGGTCAAGAGGGAGAGGAACAAGGGCAAGAGCAGCAAGAGCAACAACAACATCATCAACAACAACAATTTCAGCAACAACCAGAATTTCACCAGCAGTACGAGTTCCAACAAGGGTACCAAGAGGGGTACCAAGGTCAGGGCATGGGTGAAGGCAACCCATTCCTCACCTTCGAGCAGCAGATGGCTAATATGAATGCGAACTTCGCCCGCATGACTTCCGAGTTTGAGACCATGAGGAAGTCAAATGAAGACTTGAGGACTTCTTTTGACGGAATGAGGTCAAGCTTTGAAGGTCTTCGATCGGAATTGGGCGACTTCCGCAATGTATATCACCATCTCTACCCCGGGGGTTCGAGCTCCCAAGGGGGCCCGAACCAATGAGTTAGTATCTCCTTCCCCTTCTCTTTGTGCTTATATTGTTTCAACATTGGGGACAATGTTTATGATAGCTTGGGGGGGAGTATTTTCTCATTTACCATTGGTTCATGCTGTGTTCTCGTACGTATATGTTGATTTGCATGCCCCTATTCCCATTTCCCTAACATCCAAACCCTTTGAATCCAAATTGCTTCCTTTGAAATCCAAATCCCTTGCATTGTGAATACTTCTCCTATCCCTTATTTAGATGTATAGTTATTTTATGCCTAAAAAAAAAAAAAAAAAAGAGAGAGAAAAAAAGAGAGAAAAAAATGAAAAAAAAAATGATGAAAAAGTGCCCAAGGATGAAACTCATATGACGATTATATGTTTTGCTTGCTTGACTCTTGAGTGATGAGTAAAAGTTTTTTTTAGAAGTGTGTGTGCACGAGTTGGGGGTCATTTAGAGGTCTATTAATCTTGATTGCATTGGAGTATATGAAATGAAAGCCAATGAATGCTCAATTGCACGCCTAGTATAAGATATTGTCTAATTTGCTCAAGTAGGATATGTTTGAATAAATTTGTGGTCCCTTGTGCCCTTGATGTGTCCCCTTTCCTCCCCGAAATGAAACTCTATTAGGGAATTGGTTCTACTTGTATCATGTGTAATAAGTGGCGTAATAAGCCACACGTTCTCAATAAAGAAAGAGCCGCTCACAGTTAAAAGAGGCGAGGGCATTGAAAATTGAAAAAAAAAAGAAGAGCATAAAAAAAAGGGGAGAACAAAAACTACCCCAAAACTTCTAAAAAAAAAAAAAAAAAAATTCTCTTCTTTAGAGGTCAACTCGTGGATGCCTCCCACACCTTGTTTGCATTGTTGTTTCTTATGAAATTCCCGAGTTAGAGTGTAGTTAAGGGGCCTTGGGTGTGCATTTTGGGAGGTGGACTAGCATTTTGAGATTTTATAACCGAAAGAGGGCTTGTTACAACTTTGGAATATCTAGGTGTGCTCTAATGAAATAGTAAAAGGCCAAAGGAAGTATCCTAGTGCAACCTTGTTTAGTTCTCCTCTCTACCCCAACTCATGTGTACATTTGTATGATTGGTAATTCTTGAAAGTTGTTCACTTGTCTTGCTTTTGAATCACATCCCGATGAGTTGACTTGGGCTATAAAAAAAAAAAAAATCGTGTGTTGTGTTTGTGGGAGTTGTGGGTGATTCTCTTTGGAAACCCTCACGAGAGATGGACTCGTCCTACTAGGCGACTTGTAGGTTTAAACGGCTTCTCACTTTTGCTAAAAGTGATCGTTCGGTTTATTGTGTATGCCTACCCTTTCTTGGTTTAACTTTTGCTTCAACCTTCTATAACAAGTTAGTTCCCTCTATTTGTTTTGTCATGACTAGTTTGCTCGAGGACGAGCAAAAGCTTAGCTTGGGGGGATTTGATAACTTGCTATTTTATGCGGTTTTAGGGCGTATTTGAACCTAGTTTACCTGAACAAATTTGTGTTTTGGTTCACTTTTACCCTATTATTATGCAATTTTTGTGTATCCTATGCTTCACGGGTTGTTAGTGTTTTTGTTGAGATTTTAGGTCCAAAGACGACCAAATGAAGCCCATGGTTACCAAACCGAGGTTAGAAGCAAGGAAATGATGGAAAGAATCCAAGTACAAGAGCATCGTAGAAGAAAACACGAAGAAAAGGGCCCAGAAGACCCTGCACGGCCGTGCAAGATGTTGCACGTCCGTGCAGGAGTGCAGACTTGAAGCCATCTTTCTGCCAAGGCCTGCACGGACGTGCCAAATATTGCACGTCCGTGCAGATGATGCAGCACGGACGTGCTTCCGTGATTATGAGGCAGCACGGCCGTGCAAGATGTTGCACGTCCGTGCAGGAGTGCAGACCTGAAGCCATCTTTCTGCCAAGGCCTGCACGGACGTGCCAAATATTGCACGTCCGTGCAGATGATGCAGCACGGACGTGCCAAAGGTGCACGCCCGTGCTGCAGCAGGTCGTCTTAAACTGAGTTTCTGCCTTGGTCTGCACGGACGTGCCAACTATTGCACGTCCGTGCAGACCTACAGTTTACCCGTTTCTTGTTTTCACCGTCCTCTTATTTTAGGGGGTAATATAAATAGCCCCTTTGGACCATTTTAGAGGGGTTCCCAATTTTTCCAGATTTTCATACTCCTCTTAGTTTGAAACACAAAAATCCTCAAATTAGCATAGATTTTAGTTCTTGTTTTGAAGGTTTTTCAATCCAATCATTGTAGAAGACAAGTTCCACCATTGTTAGTCAATTATTGAAGCTTCTAGTAATTTTTTCTTACTCTTTCTTTCTCTCTTCTATCTTTAATTCTTGCTTTTTATTAATTGTTTGGTTGTTCTTTGCATGTTTAATTGTTAGATTATACTTAATTCTTAGTTTTAATTTGTTCATGAATTCCTTGAAATCTTTAATTGCTTTAACCTCCATGGATTGTGAGTAGTCTAATTCCTAGGGTTTGGGTGAACCCTCAATGTAATCACCAACACTTGTTGCATGAACTAATTTGTTAATTGTGGGGTGTTAATTAGTTGAGTTTAAGAGGTTTCATTGTTAATTCTTGTAATTGGCCATTGCTTGAATTATTTATCTAGCTTCCTCAACGAAGGATCGAGAGATGAACTTGAGGAAGCTCCCTTATGCTTGATTGACTTGATTTGCCATGAGAATAGGAATTTCTAGTCAAGGGAATTTGCATGTTATCGTGAGGATGTTTTAACACTTGTTTCTTGCCCATAATCACGAGAGTAGGTTATGGTTTTGATGTCAAGTAATCCCTCTAGCTTGAGAGAGTAGTTGGGTGCATTTGATAACTTCCCCTAATTTATCCCCTAAATCACCATTTCTATGCATGCTACTTGTGGTCCGTGATGAAGTTTAGTGGTGTAACCCATGCCCTAGGCCTTCTTAATATTGTTAATCACCTCTTAGAATTAGTTGATTTGAATTAGAATAGTGTGACGTAATACCAACTTAAAACCCCCGACTTAATCTAGCTTGTTTAAACAATAACATTTGGTGGTTGATTCAACGCCTCTCATGGGTTCGACCCTTTCTTGCCCTTGCTACTAGTTGAGTAGGATCGAGTTAGGTCTTATTTCTTGATAGGTTGACGACGTCCTATCATGTACCCAAAGAAGCATGGCCAGAAGAGCTTGACGAGGAATCGTCCTCGGACGAGTCTGAAGAGGACGACTCCTCCCCTCTCCCGGAGGGGCCCGCCTTCTCTCTTTGAAAAGGAGCAGATTTGTTAACTGTTAAATTGGAAGGGGTCACTATGACTCCCCCCACAGAATTGCCGGCATCCAGGCCGCCTTGTCTCACTTCAACATCTGGCGCCTGGTCAGATGTTTCACTAATCGGCACCCTGTGGGAGGAGCCGTCTGAATTTGAGATCCTAGCTGTCTTTTTTGTTCTGGCCATCCTGCTCTGCATAGACACAGATACAGTCGGACTTTGTATAAAGGGCAAAGATGGGTCCGGAAAAGGGCAGGCGGCACTCCTAGTCCTAGATTCAGCCGTCCCCGGTGACCGGCTGATCACTAACCTAGGTCGTGTCGTGTGCTTCCGTGGTGCCATTTCAGAAAATAAAAAGAAAATTAAGAGTAAGAGAACTGAGTTACCTGAACGAGTGACGGTTGATGAAGTTCTGGAAATCCGGTGCAGTCGGCTTGTCAGAACAGGCGGTAGGCAGAAAAAGTCCAAAATGTCAGAGCAAGTTCAGGGGTCCGAATGTTCTCAAATAGTTCTCAAAGTGTGAAAATGACTCAAGGCAACTCTCCCTTATATAGGCGAAGTGAGAAGGCGAAGGGTCACTTCCAGAATTCAAAATTTGGGCGGGAAAATCTCTCGTCCATTCGCCGACTGACACCTGTAGCAGGCCGTCGCCCGTTACAGTGCGACACCTGTCACAGGTAACACGTGACCAATCACGTGCCACCTGTGATGGGCAAATGATTAGGGGATTTTGCTCCTACCAATCGGAATGCGCCACGTGGGCCAATCAGGACCTGCCAAGTGTCCCCTAGTTGGAACTGTCAGGGCTTGCCACGTGGCACGCGCTTATTCGTCCACCTTGGACCTGTTATGTCACGACATGTGGCATACTCCATGCCTAATGGAGAAACCGGCCACCCAGGCCCAACTTCCGAGGGAAGCCACCTAAACCTAGGATGGGCACGTTTCCCAAGGTTATAAATACCTCCCTTAATCCTCATTAAGGGGGGGGGGGACAAAAAAACAACACGCGAAAAACATTACGGAACACACTAATAACCGGTTGATCTCGCTAACAAAGCAGATTACCTACATTAAACATTCTCACCTAGAGAGACCTTATTACTTTAATTTCCGCATTAATTACTCCTTAATCAGGTACTAACTTGACCGTTGGAGGCGGAGCTCACAGGAGTCTCCGTTATTTTGCAGGTACAGGCGTCCGGTTCCAGTCTCGGAATTGTAACTCTCCCGCAGGACATCAGAAAACCCCGAAACAGGAGTGATGGATGATTTATTTTCCATGTTTTGTGAGAAATTTAATTTCCATAAATTTTCAATTATTTCATTTTTACTTTGTTTTTATTAACTACGCAGTAAATAACAATTTTATGGAAAAGTATTGACACATAGGTCTTGACGTCTTGTGTATTTGAGATGCAAATATGATGACATTTTTGTAAATAATGGGAATATGAGGGTGGAAAAGACGAAGGTAAAAAGCACCACTACATTTATAATAGTACACAAAAAGTAATATTTAAACAATTTATATTTTAATGATATATTATACATGCATAATAGCATACAAAAATATACCACCAAATGTCAAATTTTCCTCTTATATGCATGCCAAATACATAAACTCTATGCGCCTAGATCCACTCTAAATTTATTTGCAAATTTCCATAAATTTTACGTCCCATAATTTTTAAGGTTAAAGCATTAAAGGAAGCTACGAAAAGGCGGAAGGCCCCACCATCCCCACCATCCCAAACCCTTATGCTTCAACCCTTTTCCGCGCTCTATTCCACTCATTTTCCCGCCTTTCATCCTCCAAAAGGTCCGAGTCTCAAACTCAGTACACCAAGTAGCAGAATAACTTCCGCCAATTTTAGGGTTCAATACCAGAGGAGAGAGAAAGCTTTAGAGAGAGAAAAATGGGGGCGATAACTAGGAAGGAAGTGAGCAAGCAGTTCAAACAACGGCGCTACACTCTTCAAGCTGCTGCTCTTCAAGAAGTGCTTTCCTTCGTCAATCGCAATGGAATTGATGATCCTGAAGAAGCTTTGGAACTTCTCCTTGACCTCCTTGATCAAGAACCTCGTAATCCTTTTCTTCAACTTGTTATCTGTGGTTACAATTTTGGCAAATTAGGTTTATTTTTGTGATTTTGATTGATTTTTTTGGTGGATTTTGATAGTGAAATCGTCGATTTTGGATAAGGAAACTGTTAATCGAGTGATTTCTGAAATGCTTGATGTTGATGAAGTTTCTCCGGCGAATTCTCATTTGCGTTTCATTGATGCTTTCGTTGTTCCCAAATTTCGATTCGATCCTACTCGGAAGGTTTTTTATGAGTAATTTTCTTCCTTTCCTTTTATTTTTTTATTTTTTAATTTTAATCATTTTGGATTTAATTTGGTACTATCTAATAGTTTACATGAGACAATTAAGCTTCAATTTTACTGTTACGTTTTTTTTTTTGATGAATTCAACTAGGTTTAGGGGAGAAATTAGAAGATTTGATGAGTTTCCATCCTTGCCTTAAGTGGAATTATTGCAATTTGTTCATTGCCAAGGATATATCAAGAATTCTCACCTTAAGCACATTGTTTCGAAATAATGGGCTATAGTTTACTTTTGTGGTAGAAGTACAATAACTTGACAAAAAATTGTCAGTAGCACTTTGATATTTATCTTTTACACTTTTGTTGGTAAAACTCTCACATTGAAATTAATGGCCTAAATTGACAAGGTTTGACCAAAAGATTTGAACTTGGCTTATTTTTTAGGGATAGGAAAATGGGGAGTACACAAAATGTCATTTATGTAATCATGTATCATGTTGAAACTTAAATTGTTTTTACCGCAAGGGCATAAGGTATACCGTCAAAGCTATGATTTCAGTTGATACCGTAAAACCTAGGCAACATGGGTTATGGTTAAGATGAATGATAGTGCTTAAAAGTTGCGTGATATGTTGTGTTGATGGTTGCATTTTTTGGTATGTAGGTGTACGGGGGCACTTCCTATCCATGGTAATGCGCCTACAAAGGCAGGTTTGTATAGAGATAGATTTGAGCTATTGGCACAGAAACTTGCTCGCCATCCTCATTTCTCAAAACCTGCTTTTGAAACTGAAGCATCAAATTTTGGATGCTGTGAGGTATGCAATTATCTCCTTTATCCCAGTTATTATAACATGAAATCATCAGTGTATTTCCTTTCAACCTCCGATAAGATGCATGTCCTTATACTATAGGTTTTCCTTTTTCTTCTTACAGCCACAATCCCCATGTATGTTTATGTGATTGTTCCATGATATTGTGGGTTTGGCAGATAGTTCCAATTCAGAACCTAAATTGGCAAACAGGGAGAAGGTGGATAATGGGTGTAATATCCCAGCTGGAAGATGGGCATTTTTATCTAGAAGATCTCACTGCCTCAGTGGAAGTTGATTTATCGAGCGCAATATCCTTGCCATTTGACTAACTGCTTTATTCAATATTGCTCATCGCTGTGGTTTATTTTATAGTTTACTGCTAATGGGGATGAGTGTCAACATTGGGGGGGTTATTTTTGTCATCATTGTTGCTATTTCCTCTTGATGAAAATCATAGTTCTTTGTTGAAACTTTTAAGTAGTGAAGAGTTGCCAAGATCAGTAGCTGGTTAAGTTTCATGTAGTTTACTGCTTAGTAGGTCACCCACGAAGGAGTCTTTATTTGACGGAAAGGGATGTGTAAATGCTTCGGTTACATGACCTGTGTCTTATTCAGTTCCGAACCACAATCTATGTTTCCTTGACATGTATTACAAGGTCACCACTGGTTTCTTTACAGAGAATACAATAGTTGTAGCCGAAGGTGAGAAGCTTTCTGGTGGTATATTTAAGGTAAGCTTCTAAATGCTAATTATTATTTTGATGAATAACCTAATGTTGCTATTTTACTAGGTGCTAGAGTAAGGCACATTGGATGCATGAGTACTTTTAACCCTGTTATTATTAATTTTTTCTTGCTCTTTGTTCAGCATTCTGCCTTTCAGTAAAATTTTTACGTGCTTTTAAAATGTTTGAACCCCGGGCAGCTAGTATAATATATGAGAATATTCTTGTTAACTACTACATATGACCAGCTGATGTATCTTTCTGGTCTTCTTGGATAAAGCAAACAAATTTCTAGAACTGCCAATATAACGCTTCTTGACTTTTGGCAACATTTCATAAAAGCAACTGATAAGAATTTTGCAGCTCTATGTCAACCTGGGATGCAAAGTTAAGGCAATCGCTTGTGTGAAAAGGTACATAAAACACGGAAATAATAGGCATAGAATATACTGTTGCATGAACTATTGGTGATAGAATGATACTCTGTGACTGGGTTGAATTAGTATTATACAGTCCAAACTGCAGGGTAACTAATGTCGGACCTTAAAGTACTCAAAATTATTCGAACTACGTATCATTAAAGTCTGAATTAGAATGATTGGAAGATATGTGGACCTGCAGCAAGCCAGCAACCACATTTGCAAAAGGGGGTGGATGTATGCCAAATTTAGAAGAGTTCTGCGAAGTGATAATCGTTAGAGTTTATAGGCTTTGTTTGATACTCGCTCAAAATGCATGAAAAGTTTAGACCATATACTTGTATCTTGCTGATGCTAGTACTTTTGTTCTGCCTTTGTTAGTTCATCTTCTGAATGTGATTCCATTGGAGCTGTACAGGTCAATACATGTGGCTTCCCTCCCATAGAGAACAGGGAAGAGAGTCTTGCATTTATCTCAGGACTGGACTTTTTTGGTTGCGGCACATTTACAAGTGAGGAGACGGTAATTCTTGCTAACATCTTTCTTTTTTTGGTCAAAATCAATCAAGAAGTACCTGCTCTTGTGGGGCCGCAATTGTTTCAGACATTTTGACCTTTTATATTTTCACAACAGAGGAAACTAGCTGATATGGAAAGAAAAGCAGTTAATGACATGTTTGTGGTACTTTCTGACATATGGCTAGATGATGAAGAGGTAATGGGATATTAACACTTCTACTAGTTTCCTATTTTCTTTCTTTATCACTTTAATGAAGCTCGATTATCCCTGTTCTTAGACTATGGTAAAGCTGAAAGAAGTTCTGGAGGGATATGAAGCTGTGGAGGTGGTTCCTTCTTTGTTCATATTCATTGGGAGTTTCTGCTCTTCCCCATGTAATCTATCATTTCATTCTTTTGCTTCGCTTAGGTAAGGAGTTAATGCTTATCCCTGTTCCTTTCTCTCTTTTAACTTATAATTTACTGGATGCTAATGCATTTACAACTTTGAATGACAAATTTGCATGCAGATCGCAGTTTGGGAAACTTGGTAAAATGATTGCTGAATATCCTCGACTACTAGAGCAAAGCCGGTTTTTATTTATTCCTAGCATTGATGATGCAGGTGATTTCTGTTTATTAATTTATTGTTGCTTGTATATATCATCTCCAATGTCCATTCTTATGTTATATTGTTGTTACTATCAGGCCCCTCGTCTGTTCTCCCAAGGTGTGCTCTTCCAAAGTATCTAACAGAAGAACTTCAGAAAGAAATACCAAATGCCCTTTTTATGAGCAATCCTTGCAGGTAAATTGGTACACTTAATCGTATCTGCAGTTGCTTCATGATGTGAGGCAGCTTTGTCAACACTATTGTGTCTTTTTTATAAGACAGTAATTACTTTATCATTTTTTCTATATTTTTGGAAATTCAACTTCCTTTTTAATGCTATGCTATTATAATACCATCTGATGGAGCTTTTTAAGCATGTAGAATGAGAGTATAATGTACTTTATGACTATTCCTGACTAGTTTCCTGGTTTGGATAACAGAATAAAGTATTACTCTCAAGAAATTGTAATTTTTCGACGGGACCTCTTGTATAGAATGCGGCGTTCATGCTTGATTCCCCCTTCATCTGCTGAAACCAGTGATCCTTTCGCTCATGTGAGCTTATCATTCTACTTGTTCTGACTGTCTTTATATCTGCTGGTCATTTTCTGTTTATTCACATAAATTATTGTTGTGTTTCTTCTGCAGTTAGTTGCTACAATTGTCCACCAAAGCCATCTCTGCCCTCTTCCACTGACAATCCAACCAATCAGCTGGAATCACGATCATTGTCTCAACTTGTATCCAACCCCTCACACGGTATCATTTTTGCTCTTTATTTCTCGCATCATTCAATATCATAACTTGAATATCCTTGAAGAATTAAGAAACAATTTGCACCAAACAAGACTTGCAACCATAATTGGCATAATATTGACTTGATTTTTTGCTTACATTATAATCTGTTCTACAGATAATTTTAGGGGATAGAAGTGAACAAAAGGCATTTAAGTATGGAGGAGTTACATGTTTCAATCCTGGCTCCTTCTCAAGTGACCACACCTTTGTGGCTTACCGTCCTTGTAACCATGAAGTCGAGTTGTCTGCTATTTAACCCTTTTTTGTTTTCGGATAAAATTAACGTGAATAATCCAAACTATCAATCAATTATATTCAACCCACCTTGGAATAATGGAATGTAATACAATGAAATTCCAAAACCTTAGGGTGTCAAATTCTCATGTGATCCCAGCTCCTCAGAAAAGTTTTATGTTAATTTATTTATGTTTATAATCATAGAATGTAACTTAATATTTTATTTTGATTTGTGTTACTGCCCTTCAGAGAAAGCAGCAATCTTTGTATACCTCCTTAATAGAGTTATACTGTGAAATATGTACCAAATTTTGTATCAATGTAGAATTGTATCTTTATTACGTTCTTGTGAAATGAAGTATTTTTTTTTGTACTTTTGAAATTTTGGCTTTATATACTTCACTTAAAAAAATTGCATTATTTGGTTAAAAATGTGTGTTTTTTTTCAAGAGATTTCTGAAAATTTGTTGTTTATGCTTTATTACAAAGCAGGCAAAATTTTCAGAATTTATTTAACACTCAGCCAAAACACCCAAACAAATACGAAAATAACCTCTAAATAGTTTAATTTAGATTCGGAACAATTGTGTTTCATCCTTTATTACGATAATTATTTTAAACAAAATTTTCCGATAATTATTTTACACCCAACCAATGAACCAAACGCTCCGATCACAATCTAGATCTGATATCATTAGAGTCAGAACTCTGCTCTTGCTCGCTGCTGCTGCCCACAGTCCAAAGCTCATTCAAAATCCCGATCGCTTCTTGCACACTCCTTTGAATCTGATCAATCTTCGCCCCGATTCGATGTATGTTCACCAAATTACAAGGCTTACGCATACATTCCCTAACAAAATTGCCATGATCAACAATGAATTTATAAACACCGATCACATTCTCAATTTCTCGAACGAGTTTTTCGATCACCTCGAAATGAGTTTGGAGAAGCTCTTTGTTATAAATGTCTTGTTTCTTGACATCTTTAAGAAAGCTTCGCAGATATCTTAACTTGATTTGTAAGTTGCAGATTTGTTCCCCAACTCCATACAAGTACTTCACTTCTTCAATGATTAATGACCCCATTAAATCTACCACGAAGGCTACGATTGATTCTTTTATCATTTGCTTTTTATTAAAATTTCAGAATTGTTACATCAAATTCGACTGAAGTTGCAAATTCATCTGTAAAACAATTTCAAGACTTTAACAGTGTTCATTACCACACGAGATATTCGTGGGAATTGTGGGAAGTACGGCGAATTTTGTGTCGTATCTTTGTTGATTTGAAGGGAAAGGGGTGTTACATAATGTCCGCCTTTTACGCTAAATTGCTCTACTAGTCAACTGCTTTTTATGCAAACAAAATAAAAGCCAATAATGCAAAGTACAATAATGGCGATTAGTAAGGTTGAGGTGGTAAAGTAATGATATTTCCCACCTTAGATTATTGAGGTTATGACTTATGATGATCAAACTTTATGGTCATTTAAAAAATTAAAAGGTTTCCTTTTATCTCTTCAAATAGTTTGTTTTGCTAGGTATATGAAAAAAATAAGTAAGAAAATATGAATCCTTTGACTTAATTTATTTCTACTTGTATATTTTAATCCCCACCTCTTTCTCTCAATCGTAAATTATAAATAGTTCATACATTGCACAACTTAAAAAGCCAGTGCAAAGAGACCAAGTATATCTCAATTGTTTAAAAATCACACAATCTACAATCGATTAATTGTTACATCCATACAGTCTCCTAAATGAACATGTGGGATTTTCCCCCAAAGTGAGTCTAATTTTAAAAGAATTTTGCAAATTGGTTGTGTGGCAAAACTATTTACCAAACTAAACTTACAAGGTAAAACGCTGTCTCAGACAGCGTTTTATGCCCTGATTTTTTTTTAAAAAAAAAAAAATTCAATTTGTAAAACGTTGTATGGGACAACGTTTTACCTTTTGATTTTTTTTTTTAAAAAAAATTCGTAACCTGTTAAGCTGGAAATGTGAAAAAAATAAAATTAAAATAAGATAAAACGCTGTCTGAGGCAGCGTTTTACCTGTTTAATGAAACGCTGCCTCGGTCAGCGTTTTTATCGCTGAATAGATGCAGTGTCTTCTTCCTCTCATTCCCCTGTTCTTCCTCACATTCCCTCATTTCAATCCTCTAACCCAATCTTGCTCTCACTCAAGCTCTGTCAAGCAACCCAAGTCCCCCCAACCACCGCCGCCACCCTCCGACCACCGTCTGCCAACCACCTGCCGCCGACAGCCCCGAGTAGCCTCACATCACCCCGATTTTGGTACTTGCCCTCTCTTTCTTTGGTTTTTAAAATCTAGGGTTTTTTTAATGGTTTTTTTGTTTCTGGAATTGTGGTTAAAATCTTAATAATTGATGTGAATTTTAGTCCTAAAACTAAAACACACAAAGATATGAATCAAGCTTTATTCTATACAGGAAAATCCACTAAGAATGAAACAAGAAACTAGATTAATCAACTAAGAATCCACCTAATTAAACAATCTAAACGAATGTTTTAACTAAAACAAGCAAAACAACAATTGAAATCCATCAATTAAAACTCAAGTGTTTAAACTCAAAACAATGCAATAATAATCTCTATCTAAAGCCACGAAAATTACCCCTATTTATAAACATAGGAGGCAACTAATTCTACTCCTACAATGACTAGGACAAACCCCTAACCTTGTTCCCCAAGTATCCTAACTAAAATAGAATTACTACTTCTAACTAGAATAGGAAAACTTATCCTAATCAAACTCTAATTACTAACTAAAAACTTTCCTAACAACCTTAAGTAGTTTATAGCAACTAAATGACAAAAATTTAATCTTATCCTAAGTGCTTAAACCAAGAAAAATCCTTTCAAGTGAAAGGTAAAAACTTGCAAGCAAAAACTCTAGAAATAAACTAAGTCTATAAAATAATTCTTTTCATATCGCCGCCACCACACTACCACATGCGCCACCCCTGTTGACACGCGCCACACCAGCGTGTAGCTGGGCTCAGTTCGGTGCCGTGAAGGCGTGAAGCCGGCGCGTGGGCCCCATATCGGCGCGTGACCATCGTGCTCCTCGCCGGAAGTGAACTGCTCTATTTCATCTTCATGCTTCCTTCTTTCCCTATTGAACTAATGGACCTTTCCTTGATTATTTCTTTGTTTGGGCAGCCTATAATGAAGTTATTTGGACCTTCTAAAAGTGTCTTGGACCCTTCAAAAGAATTAGCCTCTTGATTCACATCAATAATGTTGAATTGTTAGTGTTGATAATGTTGAATTGTTATTGTTGATTATGTTGAATTGTTAGTGTTGATAATTGTTGGTATTGTTAGTGTAGAAAATTGTTGGAAATGTTGAATTGTTCGTGTAGATAATTGTTGATAATTGTTGATTTTTGAGTGATTGTGATAACCTACATTGTTGGTTATTAATGTTGATTTAGGGCTTCTAAGCTGTGTTAATTTGAAAAGTATGTATATTGTTGTTTAATTATGGCGGTTTAGGGATGATTTAGTGCCTTTAAGTGTAATGTGTTTTGGTTGTTATGTAGAATATGGCTGCACAAAATGTAGTTATGTTATGTCGGTGGGGAGGTGAAATTTTGTTCGATGGACCCCATGTCGAGTATAGTGGAGGAAATATGGAACCACTAACACTTGAACCGAACATGACTTTCAATGATTTGATGAACGAGGTTCATATAGTATTGTTTCAAACCTAAGGAATGAATGTTGAACTAAACATTAAAATGAGGTTTGAGACCGACAATGGGGTTCAAGAGTTATCTGTTTTTACGAATAAACATTTGAAAGCTTTGAGGAGCGTTGTTGCAATGAAGGGTGTTCCCACTAAGATATATGTAGAAATGATGCCTATATGTACCCAACAAAGTACTCGGCTAGAACAACAATCTACATATATTTCCGGTTACAACGCAGAGCCCTTCCAAGTGCCCTCACATGCCATTCCATTAACTGAATATGGGATGGGATCGTTCAGTCGAATGCTGCACGACGATCAATTTCACATGCCGTTTAGTTCTCATATAGCTTCACTTGTACATGGGGGGGGGCATATGTGGCAATGAATAGCCAAGCTGGGCCTTCGACATCAAACACCGTCACACCTTCACCGGTGCAATTGCATTCATTCTCCTATGCAAGATGATGTTCAAGCATCGCCGTCTCAACTTCTGCCAAATCATCTTGAAACTATTGTGAATAACGAATTGTCTGTAAATGATGTGTATACAGATGATGAGGCCGAGAGCGGAGAGGAGGAATATGGACTTCAAAACATGGATGTTGAACCTGCACACATGGATGTTGGCGAGCCCCTGGTTAGAACTCCCGTACCTTGGTTCAGTCAGGTAAACGAGAACTATGAAGTTAATCAGTATTGGGCCGAATCGGGTAGCCATACATCGTTTGTTCCCGAGGGAGAATTTGAGAAGGGGATGTATTTTGAAAGTAAGAAAATGCTTCAAGAAATGGTGAAGATGTATTCCATACAGAGGAATCAATTCTACACCACAGTGACATCGAATGAGAGTGTCCTTCATTTGCGGTGCAAGAAGAAATGTGGTTGGATGCTACTGGGTACCAAATCAAGTGAGCACTCGCGTGACTTTACCCTAGTCACATACAAAGGCCCGCACCGAGAGAACTGTGTCACTGAAGTACTATCTACTGATCACCCGCATTTGGATTCGTCCATAATATCAGAGTATGTGAAGTCCTTTGTGCGGAAATATCCGTCCTTGAAAGTTGAATTCATATAGGAACTCATCTCCAAGCAAATTCATTTCGATGTTCTGTATCGAAGAGCATGGTATGCCAAGGAGAAAGCAATAGCTAAAATATTTGTTGATTGGGAGAGTTCTTACGACAGACTTCCGCACTTCATGCAAGCACTCCAACAGTCAAACCTGGGAACGTGTGTCGTATGGAAACACAAAGCTCTGGTGGACGGTGTATACTACAGCAACATGGAAGTGCTTGAACGAGTGTTTTGGGCCTTCGGTCCTTGTATCGACGGTTTTAAACATTGTATGCCTGTTATCTGTATCAATGGGACACACTTGTACGGGAAGTATAAAGGAACACTGTTGGTTGCTACAAGTGTGGATGCAATCTTCCAAGTATTTCCGCTAGCATTTGCGATGGTTGAAGGGGAAAACACTTCTAGCTGGTCTTGGTTCCTGGGCTGCATTCGGGTTCATGTCACGCAACGAGATGGTCTCTGTGTTATATCTGATCGACATCCTGGGATCATTGCAGCAATGAATGATCCTAACGTTGGATTTACCGAGCTGCGAGCCTATCATAGGTTTTGTGTTCGCCACATAGCTTCTAACTTGAAGACTCACGTGCGAAGCAACGACATGAGAGATATGTTTAAGGCTGCGGCGTACCAAAGGCAGGAAAGAAAACTTCACGCTGATCTGTGTTTCATCGGTGAGGCATATACCAAGGCCATGGAGTATATTGTTCAAGTCCCGTTCACTATGTGGTCTCTCTTTCACGACGCTAGTCGCAGAAATGGGATATGTACTACAAACTTCTCTGAAACATTTAACAATGTGTTGAAGGGAGCTCGGTTTCTACCGATCATGTCCCTTGTCGAGTTAAATTTCCACAGAGTTAACAGGTATTTCACTTTGAGAAGGGAGTCTTATGAGGCTAGGTCTGAACAGGGACTTCCATACCCCCCCAAGGTCCTTGCCATTCTGGAGAAGAACACCGCAAAAGCCAGATATCATAGAGTGGATGCGTATAACCGCCGATTGCATATTTACCAAGTTACAACAGAAAGGGGAAAGCGACTTGGTAGTAAAGGAGGCCATAAACATACTGTTAACTTTCAGTTACAAACGTGTACATGCAACAAACCAAAGATATTCCACCTCCCATGTTCTCATATTCTAGCAGTCTGTACAACGTATTCACTATCAGAGCGGTCGTAGGTGGACCATGTGCTGCAATCGGAGGCCTACACGAACACCTATGCACCAAAATTCTGGCCTATCCCCTGTGAGACAACCTGAACGCAGTACGTCGGCTCTAAACTCATTCCGGACGGCAGTATGGTACGTGGAAAAGGGCGGCCAAGGTCAAGCGCATACGCAATGAAATGGATGAGACTAACCGGCCCCCAAGCAAATGCAGACGCTGTCACCAGCAGGGTCACAACCGGACAACGTGTCCATCTAGACCGACATAGGACCTAAGTTTGTATTTGTTATTTGTTGTAGTAGTAGAAAGTAGAATTATTTTGTATCAGATTTTCTAAAGTTTGTAACATTTGTAACATTTGGATCATTTCTATTTTCTACTTTGGATGTTGTTTGTAATTTTTTGTCTTTGCCTTTAACTCGTCCAACTTATGTTTAATTGCTAATCCAATAATTGTGTTGGTATTTGGTATATAACGTTTTCAATGAACAAATATCATGGACGAAGAAGATAGGACATCCGGACCTGTTGACCCTTCTGTCCTGACACTACAGGACGAACATCAGAGCGTTGACATAGGGGACCAGACGGTAATATTTCATCCGTTATTTCATGTACTTTTTTCTGATACATTGATATACTATCTAATATTAATTACGGCCATACAATGATTTTTCAGGTTGATGTAGCGAAGATGTTGGTTTGCAGGCACTACACTACCAGGATTATGGGTGACTGGGTTGTCGATCCACGCATTATTGTGTAAGTCGAGTACGCTAGCTTTGGTGGTATTCATCGGATGGCGTTCAGAGAGATAGATCGAGCGCTTGTCACTACGCTAGTGGAGAAATGGAGACAAGAGACGCACTCCTTCCACCTACCTGTTGGGGGAGGCGACTGTTACGTTACGGGACGTCGCAATACTCACACGCCTTCCTATACATGGGACTACGGTGACAGGACATGCATTAGTCGATCCCGTTGATTTGGTAGCCCGGGTTCTCGGGGTTTAGCTGGGTCCCGACGAGATTAGGGGCTCCGGGTTGAGGATCGGCTGGATACGCGATACTTTCCGTGCGCTGCCTGCGGACACTGATGATGCCACGGTTCAGAGACATGCTTGAGCATACTTGTTCCTGCTCATATCGGGCGTGTTGTTCGGCAACAAGAGCGGGAGCCATATCAAGCTTATTTACCTACAGCTGTTAGACCACAACTAGGATCATATCCATGGATACAGCTGGGGTAGTGCCTTTTTGGCGACGTTGTATCGCCACCTGTGTAGAGCCTCCCACCGTGGTTCAGTCGAGATCGGAGGGCCTCTGATTGTGCTTTAGGTAACCCACCTAATTATCCATAAGCTAGTTTGACAATGACTTACGTTATACTTAACATAGTTTTGTATTTTGGTATTACAGTTATGGGCTTGGGAGCACATCCATGAAGACAGATCAGGTAGGCCTGCTGTACATCATAGGGGGCAGTAGGACCGGGACGAGCAGTACCAGGCGTACATTGCTCCAGCGCTCCCTACACCTGGTGAGGCGTACGGTTGCAGGTTTGTAACATTTGTCATTCTTTTTTGCCCCCATACGGTTTCATTTTGCTGGATGACAAACTAAAACAATTTGTGGCCATAGGTGGGTGGTCCCCAGACTCACACATGCGCATGCAGCGAGGGGTCTTCCGTACTACCGAGACACCCTTGACTGACTCACCGAGGATCAGGTGGTAACTTAAAAGATACATGTAAACATTTATGTATTGTGTATACTGTTTGTGGACTAACCTATTCATGTTATTACTGTTGCTGTGTTATTGCAGATGACATGGGATCCGTATGTACTTGACTTGGTAGATGCCATGCCTGCACATCTGCTGGATCATCAGGCAGAGTGGCGTGCCAGGGTCCCCCTAATCTGTTTCGAGGTTATGGAGAGTCACCTACCCGACCGAGTCATGTGACAGTTTGGACTACGCCAGCCTATCCCCCAGTAGTCTGACACTAGTGTATGCCTTCACGGCATTGACCGTCGGGGAAAGGGGGTGACAAACTGGTCACTGGAGCATTGACGTTTCCTTGAGCTATGGCAGCAACGGTTGGAGTTCGTCGTAGGAGGTGATCCGATGCAGGGCGTTATGGATCCTCACGATCCGTACATGGTGTGGTATAGGCGTATTACACGACGTTTCATCAACCCCAGCTACACACCACCATCCACACACCACCATCCACACATTACCATCCGGCATATGACATCATTAGCGGATATGTGAGTTTCTTTTATTCTACTTATTGTCCTCAATTTTTAAATTTCTGTATCATACAACTGACTGATTGATGATTACTGTAGGCGGCGGATATGGTGGCGATGGTTGTACAATATCAGTCGCCGTTGCAGACGGACCCACCAGAGCCCAGGTCGAGCGGGTGCGAGATATGGGCGTCGCTACCTTACAGAGATATGGTCACGGCCATCTCGTTCACCAGCGGGACGGTCATGATGGCCACTCCGTCCATTCACAGTTCGAGCTCGGCCAGAGCAGCGGTGGAGGTGATCCTACGTTACCTAGAGATGCAGAGGATTACATCATCCACAGTACTGCGCCCACCGGTACCCAGAAGGACCCATCGTCCAGTCAGCAGACTCCCCCACCGCCCCGAGACCCATTCACCAACATTACTCATTACAAGCGGCGTCGTGTCAGACGGAGGGACGACAAACAGTATTATCAGTTTTATTTGATGTAGCCGGATATTCTAGAATGATGTATATAACACTTAAATTTAATATAATAAATGTTTTTTTGAATGAATCTGTGTGTGGTTTGAAGTTTAATTTCCTTATTTGTCCAAATCGGACTTATGTCAGTCAAAATAGATCCTTCTAGACCGATATATATTAAACAGCAGACATTTGGGCTCCATAATGAGAAATGGGGTAAAAGCGATGGCCCGTGGTGGTTAATGTGGTGGTTCATGGTGGTTGTGGTGCTGTTGGTGGTGGTTGGTGGTGGTCGACGGTGGTGGTAAGGTTGGGGCTGGTGGTGGAGTTGGTTGTAGTGTTGTTGGGGGTGGTTGGAGTGTTTTGAAGTGCAAAAGGGTGGTCGAAAATGCTGGAGGTGGTGGTTGGTGGTGGTCGACAGTAGGGGTTGGTGGTGGGGGTGGTGGTTGTGGGTGGTGGCTTATTGAAGGCTGGGGGTGGTGTGTTGGGGGAAGAAATTACAGAAGAAGCCTGCTGGCTGCTGGTATAGCAGTCCAGTAGAACAACGTTTTATGTACAAAAAAAATTGTACATAAACCGCTGTCCCAAACAGCGTTTATGTATAACAAAAAATTTGTACATAAAAATTAACAAAAATTTTGTACATAAAACGTTGTCCCAGACAACGTCTTATGTGTATTTGTTTTTTTTTTTTTAAAAAAAAAACAGAAAATAAGAATTTTTTTTAAAAAAAAGTCAAAAGGTAAAACGCTATCCCAGACAGCGTTCAAATTGATTTTTTTTTAAAAAACAGGGCATATACCGCTGTCCAAGACATCGTTTTTGTAAGCTTAGTTTGGTAAATAGTTTTGCCACGCAACCAATTTGCAAAATACTTTGTGTTTTAAGCTCACTTTGGGGAAAAATCCGAACATGTGTCCTATAAAAACAACAAACTTGTGATAATACTTCCTCTTTTTTTTTTCTTTTTTTTTAAAAAAAAAATACTTGCAACACATTTCTTTTCACGCTTATCAATAATTTATTTCAATCACTACTATATTTAATTATGGAAAATTGGCTAAAAATAATCTCAACTATTAACAATGTGTGCAAAATAATACAACCTTAACTATTTGCTATCAGAAGTACAACCTTTTGTGCTATATGTGCAAAATGGTACGCCAACCACCAAAGAAAACATCTTAAGAAATATTCCGTTCATATTTATTATTATATTATATTAATTATAATTTTTTATATTAGAGTATTACTTATTTTTTCAAAATACATTTTACGTTAATAATTTTTTATATTATAATATTATTTATTTTTTCAAAATACATTTTACTTTAATCATTTTTTATATTAAAGTATTATTTTTTTTTCAAAATACATTTTACCCAAATTAATAATGCTCCGCCCCATTGTTAGGCTAGTAAATTAATTTCAGTAAGGAAATTAATTACTACTATCAACCAAAAGTAAATAGGGTATTTAAGTGCATTATTATATGGATATAATTAGTTTCAAAAAATGTTTTAAAAACCAAAATTAACATAATATTCCTTTGTTTTCATGCCTACAACATACCTTTTTGGCATGCTAAGCTATTTGAAAAAGTGATTAGACTATGTAAGTGGACAAATTATGCTATAAATTTAAATCGTACCAACTTAACATGTACATTTTTTTTAATTTATTTTTTCTAAACATAACACTTTCTTCTTATTCATTGTAAAATTTTATTAATTAATTTGTCCATTTATCTAGTCTAATGTCTCTCTTAAAGTGTGTGTCAAGTCAAAGTAGTGTGTTATTGTACATAAAAATGTAGGAATTATGTATTTTGAAAAAAAAAAGTTAATAATTGATATAAAAATAATTTAATAATGAATATGGACGAAATATTCCTTGATATACCTTTTTCGATGGATGGCGTACCATTTTGCACATATACTATAAAAAGGTGGTACTGCTGAAAGCAAATAGCCGAGGTCGAATTATTTTTCACCCACTGCTAATAGTTGGGATTATTTTAAGCCAATTTTCCTTTAATTATCAATACATAAAAATTATAGACATTTGATATTCAAATAGTAGAAATCGATACAAATATAACAAGATCCCACATGGCTATATTTTTTCTTAGTTATAAATCACTAATGTTAGTCAAAGTGAAGTAAATGAATAGTGTAAAAGTTAAACTGTTGCAAGTATAAAAAATGGAGGAAGTATTATGCAACAATCATTTCCTTAATTGTTGTCTAATAATTTTGAAGGCAGCTTTAGTTTTTATATACTGAAAATTAGCAAACTCGGTCAAAACTCGTTTGTTACTTTTTTAAAAAAAAGGGAAAACAAAGTAAATGAGCTAAATGTCCAACTCCTTCATGTCTATGAACATCTTATTTAAGTTCATTTTTAACTTTGTTTTAGTCTGTTAAAAATCTTTAACCATTTATAAGATATTCTATCATCTTTATAGTATATCTTTTACAAAAATCTGTAATCACTAAAAGCTATTCAAACCACTACATTGCCAACCACTCATTTTTTTTCCTTTTTCTAATTAAGTAGTGATTTAACTTGGTCAAACCACTAAAAGCTAATTAAAATCTAGTGCTAACACATGGTCTAAGGCTTGTTTAAGCTTGAGCTCAAACGAGCAAGTTCGTAAACTTTATTCATATTATACTACGTAATATTTTAAAATTTAAAATGAAAAAAATAAGGTTTTTCTATAGAATAACCCTGTTAATTTCACTTTTCTACGTTGTGCCCCAATATATATCACTTTCCACACTGTAACCCCAAATAAATTTTGTTTTCATACGGTAACCTTGCCGTTACCCCGTCGTTAATAATTCTGTTAGTGGGGTACACTCTCCATTTATTACTATTTTTTTTATCGATTTGCGCATTGGAAAATGTTCCGTTAAAGGTTTTGGGGGCTATTATGATTCTTAAGGGTCCAAATTGAGCTTAGATTTGGTAAAAAATAACTTAAATGCCTCTTTTTGCTCATTAAGAAATGTCTCGATTTGCGTGTTCATGTTTTAATACGCGAAACGAGACTTTTACGTTAATCTGAGCTTAATTTGGATCCTTAAGGGCCAAAATAGCCCCCCAAAATCATTAACAGAGCATTTTTCAATGCGCAAATCGATAAAAAATATTAATTAATGGAGTGCGGGCCCCACTAACGGAATTTATTAACGGCGGAATAACGGCAAACTTACCGTATGAAAACAAAATGTATTAGGTTATAGTGTGCAAAGTTATATATGTTGGGGTACAACGTAAAAAAGTGAAATTAAGAGCGTTAAAAAACAAAAAAGAATTATGTAACTTTTTGGGCCTGCTAAAATTATTAGGCCCAAATTACAATGAGCTCTTTCCCTAAATAATGTTGGGAACTTATCTAATTCCCAAAATACAGCTAATCTTTTTTTAATTCCCAATCTACCGTCCACGTCAGCTAAGTGAAAAAAACCGGTTTTTTTTTTATCGGTCCAGCAACAAACCGCTACTTCAAGTAGCGATTTATAAAATTAAAACCGCTACTTTAAGTAGCGGTTTATAAAATAGAAACCGCTACTTGAAGTAGCGGTTTTTGATGTAATTTTTTTTTTAAAAAAACTATCAATAAAATACAAAGAGAAGGGGGAAGTGATTTTTGACCACCACCCACAATAATAAAAAAAAAAAGTGCCGAGTTCTCTACCACCAATTGTTCATGTACTCCAAAATCTGGAAACACAGATAATTTGATACCAAAAAAAAAAAAAAAATCACAAAATTGATTATGTGTGAATTTTGCTTTGCTAATATCGATTTGATTGATCTGGGCAAAAATCCTTCCAGTTTTTTATGAATTGACAAGATTTTAACAGAAATTATAACATTTGTAAACATACAGTAAAAACTACTAGTAGAAATCTTATACTTTGTGCGTTTTGTACAAATTATTTGTAGGAACTATAGCATCTTTTTAAGGCTCAAAACGCTAAGTACGAACTATCAAACCTGAAAATGTCGAATTTTCTGCATGTACACTGATTACTTCCTGCAGTATCAATCGCCAATAGAGTGGAACTAAATTGAAATCAAATCAAATTAACCACCACCACCACAACCTAGTAACCCCCACCTTAACCCACCCAAACACACCCAAACCAAACCAAGATCTACAACCCTAACCAAACAACCACCCAAAAATTAACAAAAAAAAAACATACCTTAACACCGAAATTGAATGTTAATTTCTCATCGAATTTGGTTTAATACGGCCAAATTCGATCATGAAGCCTCTAGATCTAGAGGTTTCATGGTCGAATTTGACCTGAATTACCATGCGACACCGGCGAGAAAGAAGGCAGACATCACCTCCAAGGAGCGTAGGTTGCGTAGACAGCACCTCCAATGGCGGAGGAGAGAGAAGGAGGGAGGAGAGAAGGAAAGAGGAGAGGAGTTCAGAGAGAAGAGGAAAGAGGAGAGGAGAGAGAAAGAGAAGTGAGGCGTAGAGAGAGAAGAGGAGAAGGGGAAAGTGAAAGGAGGTCACTTACCCAGCCTTTACCTCCCATGCGTAGTTGAATGTAAAAAAACTTAGTAAATATAAACCGCTACTTGAAGTAGCGGTTTCTATTAAGAAAACCGCTACTTGAAGTAGCGGTTTTATTCAGTACATCGCTACTTGAAATAGCGGTTTGTAAAAAAAACCAATTTAAACACCTAAAAACCGCTACTTCAAGTAGCGGTTTTCCTCAAAACACCAACAACCCCACTTTGTGAAAATTTGTTTAAATATAAACCGCTACCTCAAGTAGCGGTTTCTAATAAGTAAACCGCTACTTGAAGTAGCGGTTTTTAGTAGCACAACGCTACTTGAAGTAGCGGTTTTCTAATAAACCCGTTTTTAAAAAAATTCTCACTGAACCGGTGACGTGGACGGTATGGTGGGAATTAAAAAAAGAGTAGCTGTAATTTGGGAATTAGATAATTTCCCAACATTATTTAGGGAAAGAGCTCAATTACAATAGGGGTCAAACATTTTTGTTGATAGAAAATAGAAAAAAAAAAAAAAAACAAAAGGAAAATAGGAGGAGACAGTGGTGAGGAGAGAGAAAATCAATGGCGTCGATTGTCAGGAACACCTTCAAGGCGATCAAGGAGAAAGGTTTGGGCAACTTCCTTCGCGAGTTCAGAGAAGAAGGTTATCTGTAAGTATTTATTTTCACATTATCATTTCATCAATCAATTGAGAAATTTCGAGAAATTTGTTGTTGAATTTATAATTAAATTAGGGTTATTGGATCTTATGTCATTTCTTTTCGATTGAAAATTGGATGATTTTTTGTCAAATTGACTCCAAATCATATAATTTGGTAATTTTTTACTTAATTTTAAAAATAGTTTTCTGATTTTGATATTTTCAGGAGATGTCTACCGGACGGCAACCTTCTGTAAGTGTGTTTTTAATTTGTTATTATCTTTTATTATTCATGAATTTTATAGCATGATGAAGTAGAATTTATTTTGATGTGTTATAATCTGTAAAATTTGATGTTAGAGAAGATTGAATCTTATTAACTTGGTGCTACATTTTTTCGTTAAATTTTCAATTTGTTGTTATGAGGTGCCGAAAATTGATCTGATTCGAGCTGATTTGAACTGACTAACTAATTGAATGACTTCGAATCACTTGAAAATGACCCGAACCCCCGATTTGATAGATTTATGTAACTAGTATCTTTGGAGGACAGATGAATTATTCACGAGTATAAGCTTGACATTTCTTCCTACTGTTTCATATTGTGTGGTTTGACATTTTGGCTCTGGATCAACATGTTTTTGCTAGTAACTCATGAATATATGTTGAACCAGTGTGTGTGTGTGTGTGTTTTTTTTTTTTTTTTTTTTTTTTTTTTTTTTTTTTTGCTTTTTTGGCCCAATTTGTCCCCTTTTTTGTTGGAAGAGAAAACCAATTTTTACCTTGAGTTGTTTATCGTATATGTTAATTATCTTGCATTTCATGAAGGATTAGATGGTTTAGATCCAATGGAGTTTCTGCGATTCGGGGTTGTAGTGCTTAGGTGCTACTGGTAGGAATTGGTTTCTACCTCTAATCCTTATTACAGATTAAAGAACCATGGACTTTTTTGTGTTGTAAGAACAACAAAATGATTTCTTTCTTGATGGATGGGGTTAGGAGGCACATTAGGTTGGGGCGTTGGGCTTCTTTAGTTCTGCTTACTTTCTACCTTTTGACAATCTGTCTTTTGGGTTGATAACTATGATTTTTATATGGCCGCCATGAAAATACTTTGCTTCTTACAGTATGTATGTAATTGAGACTGTGCCTGCATTTACAACAAATCTCACATGATATTGCTTCATATCTCTATTCTGCTATTCCAGCCGTATAACACTGCTTGTTGAGCAATTGTTATTTTGTTCATGGATTTCTTATAACCTGGGCATATAACTGACAGTGATAACAGGTATCTTGATGTGCTATGTTATTTCATCTCTGTGTTTGTTTTGGCCATGAATTGGCACTAAAAAGTTTGTTTATAAAGCTTGTGAATCTTCCTTTTATATATGTTCAGGCAAACCAAAATCCACAATCTTGGGGCAAAGGTTGTGGGCGTTGATCAATATGGAAATAAGTACTATGAGAATATGAATGTTCAATATGGTTAGTTCCTTGTTTACTGCCACCCTCTCTCATTGCTAGTGTACTGTCACTACTCACTATTGAGCTTATCATTTTAATGATCTGGTTTTGTTTGTTTGTTTTCCCCACCTTTTTTTTAAAAAAAATATGTGAAACATAAGCTCTTAATTCTTCACAGTGGGGTGTCGACATTTTTTTTGCATGATTTTTCCTTGTTGCTAGTGTTATATTTTGGTAAGGTTATTTGGATAAATTCAGGAGTTATTTGAGAGTATATCATGTTAGACTCCAAATAATCATGAACTTATGCAGAATAATCTGAATATGTGTTACTAGGCTGTATGCATAGTTTATTTGTCTAGCAAAATATTTTTAATTCAGTAATCATTCTGAGGAGTCAGCCGAGTCCGCACTGCACTATGTCTAAATTCTCCTCCATGAATTACGGAGGGATTATTAACTAATATTGTTTAGTGTAATAAAAAAATTCAAGGTGCACTAAAGCAACAAAAGTCCTAGTGTGCCTTGGCGCACCTTTGGGCATGCTTTGGTCTGCTTCTTGAATTGAGGCACACAACCACACACTGTAAACACCTAATTTTTTTTTTCAGAAGTGCACCTCATATGCACCTTGTGCGCGCCTCAGGATGGTTTATTTCATGATACATACGTATTCCAAGCTAAAATTATGGCAAATGCATGTCAGGGTGTTTATGGGAATTCCTATATGGTAATGAGAGTGTAATCTCTCTTGTTTTGCAGGGAGGCACAGGTGGGTAGAATATGCGAGTAAAAATCGCTATAATGCTTCTCAAGTGCCACCAGAATGGCATGGCTGGCTTCACTACATCACTGACCACACCGGGGATGAGGTTAGTTTGACATCAAGTAGAAGAATTTTAATACTTTGTATTATGCCTGATATTGTATAATTGTGCCATTATCTGACTGTATACTATTACATTTGTTGCAGATTCTTATGCTAAAGCCGAGCAGGTATGCCATTGACCACAAGGAGAACTTCACTGGAGAGGGTGATGAAAAAATTTACCACTCCAAAGGCCACACTCTCAACCCTGGGCAAAGGGATTGGACCAGGTACCAGTCATGGCAACCGGGCAAGAGCTAAACTATCTTGTGCTCATTTTTGCTTGGCGAGGTTTTTTTCTCCTGGCAAGCTACCTCATGTGATGAATAATGTCCTGTTATGCTCGGAGCTACTATGGTCAAATCTCAAATGTTTGCTGTAACTATAAGCATAAACCAGGCAAAATTGAAAACTCTGATTATGTTGTCATTTTTATGTTTCAACGCGATTTATTGTATGTGAACCTAGTCTTTTTCTGTTTCAATTCTGTATTGCAATTTGTTCCTCGTGGTCAGGATTTTTCAATGTAAAAGCCTGCGTTATGGCCACCTCAATTCTTTTCCCATGACTCGAGAAAATATAAATTTCATGTGTTTAGAAGAAAAGGATGGATATGTTGTTATCCCATGTCTTGCTATTAATGCATAAACATATTCAATTAACATTAAAGTAGGGTAGCAATTGCTTTAGCTTTCAATTTTTTTTTCAAGGTTTTAATTTCAGAATCAGTGCAGATAAGAGCAAAAGTATGCTTATTTCTTTATGTTGGATTTTTGTTGGTTTACTTCTATCTAGTGAAGGGTAATGAATGATTGAGTGTTAAACCACGTTGGTTGATTTAGTATCATGCTTTTAGGCAAGTTGGTGGCGGAATAATTCTAAAAAGTCTTCTAACAAAAGAATTATTTTGATTTTTTTTTTTGGGTGTTTCTTATATACTTTGTAAATTCTTTCAAATTGGATACAGAGAATTTGTTATGCTAATTTACGGCTTCACTCTATAAAATTCGTAGTACTTTACCGTCTCTGGGCAATAAGGAAAAGGGGCATATTTAATTATTCATAATAGCACTGTACATAATTACATATGCATTAATGATCACGTATCCTATTAAAGGTAAAATTTAGGACTATTTTTAATCAACTCATTTATGCTCAAATCATATTATATTCATGGGTAACCATGAAGACATGATCGCTAGTTAATGCTACTTGGACGCAGATGTGTAGAACCAAGCTTGCTTGGTGGAGAATTGAACTTGTAACTTTGAGGTTATAAGTTCGAGTTCCACCATTTATATATGCTTAGCATATTCTCTTACCTTCAATCTCAAACGTTGAGACATTCTACTCAGAGCCACCAATGTCCTTTTTAATGAAGGTTGTCGGTGTCTCATTTTATTTTTTTCACGGTAAGATCCAGGGTGGGGGGTGCCCCTCCTATCATAGGCGGGGTGGGGTGAGGATCAAACCCAGGTCACTCTTGGGGGAGATGGAGGGATTAACCGTCCTTCCACACCTTGATCCTCGGTTGTAGGTGTCTCATTGTTACTAATAAGAGAGGTTTGTCGTCGAAAATTTTTTATACACAATTCTTCTAGCTTTAACTAAGAAAGGAGAAAATATGGGAAAACAAATATTGACAATGTGAGGAAGTCTCCAAAATCGTTTCCAATACTAGGGTCTTGTTTTATTTGTCTTAATGAGTTATTTAAAAACGTCAAAGTATTGTACTTTTTACCAATAAATGATATTAATCATAAAAAATGTACATAACTCCATAATATTTACCCCGTAAGAACAACCAAAACGGATTAATTTCATACCTATTAGAAAAGGAGGGAGTAGAGTAGATAGTAAACCAATCCTAGTAGGCTAGTATCACAAAATCCCAATCTTTTACTTCGTATATTACAATATGATAAGAAAAAATCTCAATTAGTTCTGATCGTTTTAAGCCATATCAAATCAAATCAAATCAGTCCACATAAGTTTAAATCAGATCAGATAAATAAACACAAGGAGTTGAAGAAGAAACCTTGAATTGTCAAATCAATCCTAGTAATCACAAAATCCCAATCATTGTTTTGTATGATAAGAAAAATCCAAATCATTTTGACAGGTGAAAAAAAAAGACTGGATATAATTTTTTTTTTCCCCCACATGTCTAGAATCTAGAAGACGCTTCTTAAAAAACAAAAAAGTAAAAAATAATAAATTTATACGGAGTATAAAAATGGCGCTTTTGCTATTGAAGAGTTGATCCAACCCAAAGCTTCTTGAGCTAAATATGGCTACCGCTACCTCCGATCATCAACAACCATTTCTTTCTACTTTTAGAAAGGTAGGTTTTCCATTTCTCCAAACTATTTTGCATGTCATTTTTCTCTAAATTGTGCGATTAAATTTTCAATTTTGCTCTCGTTGTAATTCGTTGTGATCGACTATGAATTTCCGCTTTAAATTGCAGGAATTGTGTTAATTTCTTTATATTTATGTGTGTTGTTTAATTTGGAAGTAAATTTAATTTGATGATTGTTTAATTTGAGTTTTTTTTTTTTTTTTTTTTTTTTTTTCAGACTTCAGATGAATTTAATGGTGATGCAGAACATCAACCTCTCTCTAGTGGAGGTCATCCTAATGAGGATTACTCCCTTATTTCCTGCATTTTACCGTGAGTATTTTCTTTATTCTCTTTTTCTGTGCCGAATGAGCTTCAAGGGCATTATAAATTACAATTAGAAAAATGGGATTCAAATATGTGAGGTATCGTACACAGACCCTCCGTGTTGTTTTTTAAGTTAGTAAAAGATTATGTTCATGATAAGCGTGTATGGACTGTTAAATTTAATTTGGAAATTTTGCGACCTATTATGATATTTTCATTGCCAAACACTTCATTTAAGCTAAAGAATTATCTAATTTGGCTTTAATTTGAATGTAACTTCATTCTAACTAAATTACCCAGAAGGTAAATAATCATTATCATTTTGCTCTTGGCTGACGAAATGGTGAGAAAATGATTGATAAATCTAGTGTAATTAAAATGTAAGATGCAAAAAACAAAAAGGTTACATAATGTTGTTTTTGACAATTAATTAAATAATTTAAGGTGGTTTGTATTTTCAAAATGTGTAATTTATATGTTGGTTTCTTGCAAAAATATGTCATCAACGACAACTAAAATCGCAATGAGACACTTAAATTTGAACGGAGGGAGTATGTGTTGCTGTGTGTGAGTTTTGCTTATTACCCTTGTTTATGGGGATGTGGGATGTGTGATGATTCTTAGCTGGAGTTTTTTCCAGCTTGTTTATGAGCTATATATGTGGATTACTGTGGCGCAAGATACTGCTCTGAGTACTTGACGCGCAAAAAAATTGCTTAAAACCTTTGGTGTACTGTTGAGCTTTGTAAACTTGATGCTGCTCCTATCAGGGAAAGTATGGTGAAATGTTTTCCTTTTGTTTTCACAGCTTTTTATTCCCAGCTCTTGGAGGACTACTTTTTGGATATGATATTGGTGCCACATCATCTGCCACAATTTCAATTCAGGTATGAGGATTATATGGAGCGATTTGATCATTTTGGTCATCTGCACGTAACTTTTTTTGCCAACTTGCATTTATTCTATAGTTTGACATTTGTACGATTTGCACCTTAGTCAATTTTTTTTTCAATGTTGAATTTCTAGCTGCAATAAATTAATATCATATCTTTCTTTATAATTCTGAAAGTCGCACCAGATTACATTTCCTTAGCTGAACCAGATAAAGTGCATTTTAAGGTCAGGAAATATGCATGTCTACTATGCTTTTCTTGCTGATTTATAGTTTTTATGCCTGAAAGGCTGTGATTTTCTTCTCCAGTCAAGTTGAAATGTAATACTTTTCTTTTAACTCTTAATTTATTTATATCAATCATCTTTGACACTCATACCTAAATATAACATCTTGCAATTTCTTGTCACTGTCTGTTATTGTTTAGTTGTGGTTTGTGATGCTTGAAGTCTTAGCGTCTCACCTTGGTGGTTAGCAGAATGTCTCACTGGCTTACAAGGGCCTTAGCTTCTACCTTTAGTAATGAAATGATCTCTCTGAGGCCGATGTTAGTGGTCCAAGTTGGCAATTACAGTACAGTATCTACAAATTAAGAAATTTATTTCTTTGTTCTATTATGAGTATTACTTGCATCACTTAGTCAGTATTTTGGCAAAAAGTAATTATATATCTTCAAGACGATATATAAATATATTAATTGATTGTTTTTTTTTTAATTTATTTAAAATGGCTATATTTGAGATTTGATAAGTCAAAGCTGTTAGAATATCATTCTTATCTTTGAGTTCTTGTGTATGTTATTTTGGGATGTAATTACATGGCTACTGTTTGAGTTCTGTCCTGTGAAGACTCTCTGGAGTCTGGACAGTCAAGACTGTGAATTTACGAGGTTCCTGGAGCTGGCTTATAAAATTCAGAAGCTATCTCTACAATCACTTACAAAAAAGGACACAGAGTCATAGGAAACATGATATTTTCACAAGATGTGTGTTGAAATGGAGACTTCATCATTTTGTATGGCTTGCAAAATATTTTCTTCTTTTGGTGAATTTGACAATTCCTACGCAGTGGTGAACGTTAGATACTTTCAAATGGAATTTGGACAAAAGAAACATTGGTTTGGTCATTAATCCTTCCCTCTTCTGTTGCAGTCACCAACTCTGAGCGGAACTACGTGGTACGACTTAAGTTCTGTTGATGTTGGCCTTATTGTGAGTCCTCTGTTTGTCTTGTTCATTATGTTCAATAGGGGAGACTATTTTGTCAACTCTTTATAGGAATATTATGTACAAATACATTGACATTTAACTTGATATATCTGTGGTCTTCTGCAGAGTAGTGGCTCATTGTATGGAGCCCTGATTGGTTCTGTCCTGGCCTTTAAAATTGCCGATTTCATTGGTTTGTACTTATGCATATATTAGAGTCTGACAATTTCTTATCTATTTTCTTTTCATTTTATGTGATATTTTTTTTTAATACACTTTATAGGTAGGAGGAGAGAGTTGATCATATCTGCTGCACTCTATTTTGTTGGGGCTCTAATTACAGCAATAGGTCCCAACTTTGTGATCATGATGATAGGGCGCTTTATTTTCGGCATTGGTATTGGACTGGTAATTATCCTATTCTTTCTCTTGAGTTTGCAGTGAGAGTATGATTCTAGCCGTGCTCACTGATTATTTATGTGAATATTCACAATAGTTACTTCCTCTTTCACTCACTGTTCTTTGCTCACAATATTCATAATTTCATATGCACCTGTTGTGTCTAACCACAGTTCTATGTATTAGCCTTTTTCTTCTGCACTCCACTCCCAGAGTGTTTTTGTTTGTTTATTTTTTTCTTTTTTCTTTTTTTTAGAGAGAGAGAGAGAGGGGGGGGGGGGTGTCTACAGACTAAGGCATACCTGTGACAACCTGTCTTTCTTCACTGAATAAGGATTTAGCATCTTCAAAGATGTTCTTGTTAACTAAGGCTGCTATGATGATGCGATTTTACATAGTTATTCTTTTAAACAGCATGAAAGTGTGTTCGCTTCTGTAATATCGTGCAATATGTTGTAGGCAATGCATGCTGCGCCAATGTACATTTCTGAGACTGCTCCATCTCATTTAAGAGGCCGAGTAATCTCTCTGAAAGAGTTTTTTATAATTATCGGCATGGTTGTAAGTATTCTGCTCCAGTTTCTTTGTTTTTGGCTAGTCCTTCTCATCTAAACAACTTGATCCCCGATGCTCTCAACCTCACAAATTCCTCTATTTGAGTCTTGCAACATTGCTTGATATGTGCAGCTTGGTTATGCCATTGGGAGCCTTCTAGTGGATGTCATTGCTGGTTGGCGTTATATGTATGGCTTGAGCTCTCCTATATCAGTTATAATGGCAATTGGGATGTGGTGGCTGCCAGAGTCTCCTAGATGGCTACTTTTTTGTGCTATACAAGGAAAAGGAATCATTCAGGATTTAAGGGAGAATGCCATTCATTGCATGTGCCGTCTTAGAGGGCCAGCTGTCAGTGCTACAGCTTCGCAGCAAGTGGATGATATCATGGATGAGCTTTCTCTTTCGGGTGAATTGACTGACATCTCTACAATTGAGATGTTTAGAGGAAAATACTTGAAGGCACTAATTATTGGTTGCGGTTTAGTCTTATTCCAACAGGTAGCATCTCTCTGTTTGGGTTGTAGTGCATGAATCTGCTATAATCATAAAATTCATAATAGATGTTCTGACACATCTTGTCCTTATGCTTCATAGATAACCGGTCAACCAAGTGTGCTGTACTATGCTGCCTCTATCTTTCAGGCAAGATGTTTGAGCCGAATTTATTAATGTTAATGACATTGATGAAGTAGTCTTTAGGGGATTTCATGTTACTGTTGATTAACATTTATCCAACAGAGTGCAGGATTTTCTGCAGCATCTGATGCGACAAGGGTCTCAATTCTGCTTGGCTTGGTTAAGGTAGATTTTTCAATATTTATACAGAAGCATATCTTCTTTTTAGGATTGCGACTGAATATGTCTTATCATCATTTGGAATAATTTACCAGCTAGTCTTGTACTCTTGCTAAGTAGTGTTTAATACTTTGATTTAATTGAAAAATATGGCTTGCATTCTATAAAGTAATGTCAATTCCCCTTACGGTACACTCTACTTGCAGCTGGTAATGACTGGAGTTGCTGTTTTGTTTGTTGATAAATTTGGTAGAAGACCTTTACTACTTGGTGGTGTATCTGGGATGGTAATCTTCCGTCCCTCTTTCTCTCTGGTTTCATGCACATTTCTGTGCTTCATACTTTGAAATGCATATTATAGCAAATTGATGCCTATTAATACTGAATTACAAGCCCACATACAGCATAATTGTGAAAGATGTCAACTTATTAGCTATGACTTCCTAATATTATAGTGCTCATGTCATCATGTGGCAGGTGATCTCTTTATTGTTTCTTGGAGCTTATTACACATTTCTTGGTGATGCACCGGCTATAGCTGTAATTGGTCTCCTCCTTTATGTTGGTTGTTATCAGGTAAAGTTAAAATCAATCTTGCATTTCAAGTTTGAATGCTGCATGTACATGTATTGAATTCCCTGCATTGCATGGTGTCTTGATTTTTTTCATGTAAATACTTAAAGGATCTATAGGGCAATTGCTTTGGAGTACAATTTGTGCAGTGCTGTTCATTATCTGATAAAAAATGATTTCCTGATCCTTAACTGATCTTACCTGCGTTTGCCATTTCAAGTTTGTCTGTACTTTTTCTTTAATATGCATGTAGAGCACTCACTTAAAAAATTTCAGTTATAATCCTACTTTAAATTGGGGGATTTAATGTGGATACTTGTATAGTATATATGCTTCCTTCAGGTTCTAATTTATATATGTGAGCCTGTGAGGATGTTATTTGGCTCTGAACTGTGTTATTGACTTTAATTAAACCTTGAACGGTGTTGCACTTTGTAATTAATGTTGCCCCTTTGCAGTTATCGTTTGGTCCGATTGGTTGGTTGTTGATGTCAGAAATTTTCCCTTTGCGCATGAGAGGAAGAGGAGTGAGTTTAGCTGTGCTCGTGAATTTTGGGGCTAATGCTCTTGTTGCTTTTGCATTTTCTCCCTTGAAGGTATCTCCTTCAATCACTATTCCTCAATGCTCCAAAATTCCATATATTGATCATTTGCAAAAATGAATAACAGCTCGAAATTATTTCATGTTCTCTGTTCCAAGTTTTACATATTATTGGATTTGGAGGAAGAATAAACCTTTGACCTGGGTTCTTATTGCAGGATCTCATTGGAGCTGCAAATTTGTTTTTTCTGTTTGGTGGCATAACTTTCCTGTCTGTCATATTCATATTTTTTATGATACCGGAGACCAAGGGGATGACTCTTGAGGAAATTGAGGCCAATCTGCTGTAACTTCTTTCAGCTATTAGCACCTTTTAGTTGAAACTACCGTACAGCCGTACTGGTGAATCTGTAAGAGCAGGTAGTGGCATGCCCTTTTCAATGGTGCAGCCTGCCCTTTTCAATGATACTTGTTGGTTGTGACATAGGATCAAAGTGTAATACATTCTTGTGCATTCTGCAATCCTATAACTAGATATTGGTTGTACATTTGTAGCAAAAAGTACAATCAGAATGACATTTAACAAGCAGCACAGCTGGCTGCATGATCAGTCGCCAAAAATCTCCACAGGAACAACAACCGTTGCTAAAATGGTGAAATCAATTCAAGTCCGTGACTATGATCTCCCTCTTTGTACTGATCAACGCAAACCTCATAAAATTATGAAAATCGCTTCAAATACTGAAGTTCTTCATTATCCTGGTAGGTGCACCGGGGGGCATACCGATGATCCCAGATTCCCAGCAGTGAATGCAAGCATTTTTCTATGATGTCTCAGCAGCATCTCTTTATTGCTCTCATCCACATCATGATATGGTCGTGCGCCATCTCAACTTTATAACCCAACCTCTCCATCTCTTCAATCAATTTGTCCAACCTCAAATAAATCACTGTGATTTGAGGATGTACTTGTTCTCTCCATCCATGAAACTATGGACTTTGCCTTTAATCTCAATTCAACTTTTACCTCTATACTTTTAAATCGATCTCCTTAAATAGCTGCTGCGACTTAGCAACTTTTGCCTAATTTTTGTTTGCTGCATATATGTTGGAAAGCAATACATGATACGCAGGAGGCCATAATATATTGTGGTTCCAAACTTATTTATGTGACTCGGGGATACCCCACAGTTTCACTTCAAATTGGAAATGAAAATTTCTCGAAATTGTTCTGAAAGCTTGGATTGTAGTCTTTTATTTTGGACAATTTTCAACTTTTTCGGATTCGTAAATAAAAGCAGCCGTGGTGCTTCCTATGGAAACCATAACACCACATGACGCCATTTGGGTGGTTGGCCACAATGAAACTTTAGGGGAAGTAGTAATGGAGTAACGTTATGTATTTGGGAGAAGGTCTGACACATAACTCCTATACGTTTGCATATAGAATGGCATTGTAGTAATAATGTTGAAGTTGTAGTGGGAGTATAAAGTACCATTTTAATATGTAAATAGTACCATTAAACGTTGTAGTGGTATAAATATTATGCTAATAGTACAAATAAGTATGTAAATGGTACATCAAAATATTATAACAGTGTGAGATATAATAGTACTACTAAGACATAATGGTACAATTTATATGCATAACAGTACAAAAAATGTACCACTGTAACCATAAAAGTACCACTCTAGATGTCAAACCTCAGTGCTTTTCCACTTTTGCCCTTCTATATGCAAAAAATGCATATAGAGACTATGCGACTAGTAGGACTCATGTATTTGTAAATACATAAGAATGATTAAAATATTCTAAAAACACATGGTAGAAAGAGAAAAGAGGAGAGAGATAGGAAGAGAGAGGCCTGTAGGTGGAACCCACCTATTTTATGGTCAAATTGTCTCACGTAATGGGGGATCGCATGCTGATTGTTCTACTGAAAGTTTATATAGTAACATTGAATGTTCAGTGGTACTATTTATGCATAAATTTAGTACAATTGAATGCATATACTTTCTCCGTTCTTTTATTATTGCATCTTAGGGGTTGGGCACATTTTTTTTTGGTAGTGGGAAAAAGGAAGAGAGAAAGGGTTAAAAGGACAAGATTATTCATGTAAATATAACTAAAGAATCAAGGGTTAAAAGTAAGGGTATATTGGGTATTTGTTATGTGAAGACATATATTTTGTTTCCTAAAATAGATATGGTGCAATATTTGTGAAACTTTCTTAAAAGCAAGAGTTGCAATAATTAAATAATGGAGGAAGTCCTTTGGGAATGCCAACCACCTAAATGGCTTTTCGAGGTCCTTTGGGAATGCCAATCACCTTGATGCATATCTTGCCGAGCTCAAAAATGTTTCTAGAGACCAAATTTGAAGGCTTATTTATTATACACGAAATCGAACCAATTTTGAAGATTTAATAAAATGAGGTGTATATGTAAATGACTAAATTGGCCGTTTAAAGGCAAATTGGTTGATTCCAACCACCCAAATAGCTTCCTAAGAAGTCGTGGGATTCACTAATCCCAAAATTTAAATTGAGTACACGAGATGTCCATGGGTCATATAAGTTGGTTTTTAGGCATAATAAATTTATTAATAGGACTATTTCGTATAAATTGGTGAAAGCTTTCGAATCTGATATTCAAAACCTGAGATCAATCACGGTTCATATCATTATTATTTGCAACTCTCTACTTGACAAAAGAACCAAATAAATAAATAAAAGAAATTGGGGGAAAAAAAAGTAACCTATAAATGTTAGAGTGCTAGCTATAACACAACACGGTGTAGCAAAATCGTCGAGTGATAGACGGCTGAAAGAGTAAAGTTCCGCCATTAAAATTAGGGTTTTACAGAGAGAAAAAAACAATGGCGAAATTTAACGAAGTACAGAAGAAAAGAAGAGCTTTAATTTCCCAGAATAAGAGAGCTTCTCATGGAGATCCTTACACCAAGAAGCTTAAACGCCAAACCCAGCTTCATTCTGTTTCTGGCAAGCGCAAACGAAAGAACCTCAAAAAATGGCGTCGGGTATTTATTTTATTTCCAATTTTTTTTGTTTATGTTGTTTTTGATTTTCGTGTTAAGGATTAATGGATTGAATTGATGATTTTCCGTAAAAAATTAGGAACAAAGGGAGGCTGTAGAAAAGGGTCTTATTACTCTGGGTGATGTTGATATGGCTCCTGCTGATGGTAAGTCTTTCTCTTTCTCTCTCCTTGTTGCTAAATTTCAGTTTTTGATTGTGGGTTTTGTTTTTAACTGTATATTTAGGGTTTTAATTTGTTGATTTAAAGGTTTTTGCTTGAATTTCTGGGTTTTATATTGGAAGAAATGTGTGTTGTTATGTTTGTAGAGTATCGATTAGAAGCTTGAGAATAGTTATGAAATGTTTGTTTGTGAATTGTACCTCATGTGATAAATATTTATGTATCCTTTGGTTGTGAACTCGTCGGCCGTTGTGTAGTTATTACAGGAATGTTCAGCTGAGAATGTTTTTGAAAGGTTCACTCACCATGGGAGAGACTAGAGAGTGAATATCTTAGTACATTATTGCATCATGGTTAGTTCGCGTAGGCGGTTTAGTGTGGTGTCTTCCTGATCATAGTATATCTCCTAACTTTTTAAGGTGCTAATACATGCTGTAAAGAGTAAAGTTTGTGTTGGTTCAATTGCTGGATACTCTTGGAATTTTATCCCGGAATTTGGTTGTTTTATTTTCTACTCATACTGTTAAATGAGGGAGCATGCTTGCTTTTGTGAACGGCAAAAGGCAACTTGGTTGTTCTAATGGAAGTGAAGGGTGAAGACAGTTTCCATATATCCAGATTACAATTGAAACTTTTTAACTTATTGATTGCCAGCTTTACTGCATAAATCTTTGTTCTAGTATAATGTTAGACACAATTTAAGTGAGTTTGTTACTCCCTACTCTTGCTTGAACTAACTTGTAACTGTGAACGAAATCCAGAACCTGCAGAATCTAAGACGACTCCTGCCAAGTTTCACTTGAAGAAGAGTGTAAAGCTTAAACACAAACAGAAAAGGCACAAAGGTAATTCTTCCCTCAATATAAGCATCATTAGGTTTTTTTTATTTTTTTTATATTAATGTTTCAATATCATACATGTAAAGGCCGAAGTGAATCTTCTAAACCTGCTGCTGAAGCTGCTCGTGCTGATGCCATGGTAGAATAAGTATTCAAATTTCAGAAAGAATGCAGCTCAATTCCGCTCGCTGAAAGTTCTCACCAACTAGTCTCTTGGTCATTGTGCATTACAAATTTTGTTTAGAATTAAAAAATTATGGCATTACTCTTTTCACTTGTATTCTCTTTAATTTTTACTCATTATGTTTGTAAGCTTTCAGATTAGGAGAACGTCTTGCTGAGAAAAAAGTAGATTGCAAAATTAATGTAGATTGCAAAATTTGAGCATTTTACACAAGAGATGCCCCTTTTTTGCCTTCAAATGTTAAAAGCTTATTTTTGATGTTATTTTTAAATGAAATATTGCTCCAAAAAATAATTGAAATAGTTAGGACTCTTGGCCATTCCATCACTAATCCTATGCAATACTCTCTCCGTCCTTAATCCTTATGCTTCAAGTATATTTACACTGTATGATATTTAATTGAGGGGGGAGTTGATGAAAAAGTAGAATAGTGAGATTATATTGTTGATGAGAGTTTAAATGGGATCAGTGCCTATTTAGGAAAAAGAGTATAAAGAAAAGGAAAACCGAAAATAAGCAAACTTCAGACGCAAATGCCAATGATACGCCAGTGACAAGTAGAGCTGTCAATTCGGATAAACAGGTCAAGTTTGAGTCGGGTTAGTGTGGGTCGAGTCAACTCGAGTTGGGTCAATTCGGGTTAATGTCGTAATCTATGCGGTCGGGTTCGGGTTGCGTCATACTTGAGTCGGGTCACATCGGGTCATACAATTTATCGGGTCTGAGTAGGGTTTAGGGCGGGTCAATAAAAGGTCGGATTATATTCGGGTCAGGTGAATAATAAGTCGGGTTTAATTCGGTTTTTCACGGGTTAATACGAGTTAGGGTTATTCTCGGGTTCGAGTTCGATTCAGTTCAAGTCAATAATTTGCTAATTAGGTCGGGTCATTCTCGGGTTTGAGTCGGGTTTGGTTCAAGTCAATAATTTACGGGTTATAATCAGGTCGGTCATTTCCAAGTCGGGTCATGTTCGGGTTTGGGTCTCAAATATTGGGTTAATCTGGGTTTTAGGTTGATTTTAGGTCGGGTCATATCGGGTACATTTTTTTGGGTCAGTTTGTTAACAGTTCATGTAATGAGGTTCACCTTTAATCATTATTAATTTCTTCATTTATTGTAAGAGAGAAAATTTTAGATATATTCAAATTCGAGCTAATAAATTCAAATAAGTTTACACACCACTCTCATCACACTAAGGTACTTTAGAGTAAGAGGTGGAGTCAGAGTAAACTTATGCCCAAAGAACAAATGTGTTTAGCTAATTATCTCCTTTGACCATACAACAAGTATATACTATGTTTAACACTTAAATTTGGGGATGATGCTTCTTTCTTTTACTGGACCGACTTGGTCTCGTTGCATCCAAAACAAAATACTTTGATCAATATTAACATAGAGTAGTTTTAGCCTTACGAAGTTACGACTTTACGGGTAGCTTAGAATATATATATATATAGCATATATCTTTATTTAGCTAGTCAATATCTACAATAATGAAGATGTATAAAATAACACGTCGAGTTGATTTCGAGTCAGGTCAATAACAAGTCGAGTTGATTTTGGGTCAAGTCAATAACAAGTCAGTTGATTTCGGGTCGGGTTAGTAACAGATTGGATTGAATTTCGGGTCGGGTTAGTAACAGATTGGGTTGAATTTCGGGTCGGGTTAGTAATAATCGGGTTAAATTCGGGTCGGGTAAAATTCAGGTCGGGTTAAATTCGGATTTTAACGGGTTAAAACGGGTTTGGGTCAATCTCGGTTCAGGTCGGGTTCGGTTCAATCAATAATTTACGGGTTATATTCAGGTCGGGTCATCTCTAAGTCGGTTCATGTTCAGGTCTCAAATACTTGGGTTAACTCGGGTCTAGGGTTCGTTTCAGGTCAAGTTATATCGGGTTCGGGTCACTATTTTTCCGGGTTCCAACGGGTCGATTAATATTCGGATTTAGGTAAATTTTTTGAATCGAGTCCGCTTTTGACAGCTCTAGTGACAAGCAATATAAGGAACTATCTACTTGTCGAATATCATCACAAAGAACATTAAAATAATCAACCTTTACCATAATCAATCATCCAATAACTAAGAAAATGATAACAAATCATTATATCTTAGTGAGGAAAATGAACATCGCAAAATTATTTTAATATTCTATAATTGTTACGAATTACAAGCTCAAAGGCAAATATCTAAATAATGTCATGACAGGTCCTAAAATTATCACCAGACTCCCTGATCCTGAAGGACTAAATTTCTAGTTTGCTATGTCTATTAAGAATGAACAATGGAGACAAATGGAGGTTTCTAACTATAGTTGAACAAGCAACTATCAATCTATTATCATCAAGTTACAATCTAAATCACCACAAACGTCTCTATGACCAATTCCCTGATAACTAAGAAATCAATCAATAAAGTAAAAGAGCTATCTCCTAAATAAACCTGAGCTTTGAAGAGTTCTGCAATAATCTGCAATGGTGGGAGAATTCTTCACCAATTCCCATATCTTTGCAGTGTTTTTCAGCCAGTCTCGTTCAGAAACAGTTCTTGCAAAAGAGGGACGGGCCATAGACAATATGTGATCCCGAATTCTCCACAACATTGAATCACAGCTTTCATAGCCAAGTTCCAATGAGTTATCTTTTCTTCTAGGTACCAAGAACAAGTCCAACAGTTTAGGGTCAACGTTGGTGTCCTGAGAATGGTGAGATTTTGGGATAGACATATGATCATCCGCTGTTGGTCTTGTGAATGAAGACGAGTGAAAATATTGCCCAAGAACCTTCTTCATCTGCTCACAAGTCTGTGGTGAAACATCTTCATCTCGCAGTCTGCATCAAATCAAAATATAGTCTTAATACCCTACTGTGTGTGTGTGTATAAAGTAAACTTGGTTGAAGCTATCTGCACAAGCACAGGAAAGGCTGCATGAACTTTAAGAAACAAAAGAAGCTGTACACTTCTCTACTTATTGTTTTCTTCAAGGCCTTTTCATGAATTTTTTCTTTAATATATTTATTCTCTGGTTGACGATCGTTATCCCATCCTCATATCCAGAGAGGGTGAGAATACTAACTTGGTATGTATGAAAACAGGAGTTGCCATGTATTCTTCTCCGCCCTCTAGAAACTTGTCCTTGTTATCCTTATCCGTGCCTGAGCTTGAGCTTTGCAAGTGTGATGTTACTGACGAAGGATCAGGTAAGCCATGTTTCAACAAGTCCACCTGAGAAACCACACAAACTTTAATTCATATATATTGCATACTAAAGTCTAAATCAATGAAAAGCCAAGATTACTGAAATCTTCTGTTCAACAGTCTTCAAGCCACCCGATGCCTAGTGTCTAAAACATCATTTCAAGGCTGATTATGTTGCCACAAGGCAAGAATTTCATAAATAAAGATCCAGCAAAGTTTGCACATGACATTAACAAAAAAAACTCCACAAATCAAATGCATAAGGATTGGCTGACAAAAGTGTATGCATATATATTAAACAATAAGCATTTAACAAAAGTAACAACACATTCACCACCAGCCAAAGTAGATCCTGACAATGGCCAGGTACATAGTCAAGAGCAGTAAGTCTACCAAAGTAGAAGCACTACTTAGAAAGTCAACAAAAGTAAATTGTAAAACTAACTTAGGGAGGAAAATGGCAAGGTGGTGGTGTCAGCTGCTAAGAGATGTATAGTAAGCACCCTAGATAACTATTTATCAAAGCAGTGAGCTGCCACAGTCAGGTCACTACATGTCTTCATCCTTCCTATAAATGACGCTAGAAGGGAGCAAGCACAACAATGCTAAATGAGAAACTAAAGTAATACAGTAAAAATTACCGTTGACATTAAGCGCCACATATTAGCTTCATGAGCTCCTTCTGATATCACCAGCAAAACATGACAAACAGAAGAAAGTAGCACACCAAGCTAGAAAGATTCCTTGCAGAAACCATAAAGAACAAGTTTAGAACTAGAACTACTCTTTTGCAGATTGGACAACTAGATACTATAATTACCAGAGGTCACGAGAGCTGTATAGCTGATTGCAAGAACAAAAATCAACAGAATCTCAGAAAAAATAACGTTTAGACAAAAAGAATATGTTTCTATTTGTGCTAACCTGGATGCATAGAAGCTCATGAGCCAATTCAGAAGATAGAGTTTCACCTCCTAAAACAGGGACTGTAGATGAGCCATCTGGTCTCGTCATTTCAGCCAACACTGATGGACTAAACACAGGCTGTAAGAGCATATAGTCAGGTATAAAAAAGAATTTTCAATAGCGAACACAATGCAATTTGAATGACCAATCTATATATAACCTAGGGATATTACGACTAAATCCGTTGCTGAAGTAAAAGGGTGATAGAGAACGCTTTGTTACAGAAAAGACTTGAGACCAAGAAACAAGGAAAAACAAGAAGCAGGGAAGCTAGATATGTTGGTAATGCGGAAACAAAAAGAACCACCCGACTCCTTATTCCTTCGGCACAAGGGTTTGCAACTGTCATAATTACCAATTTCTAGCAAGTATAGAGTAATAGAGAAAGCCTAGAGTCTTATTCTAGTGATTAACACCATCATAAACCCATATCATTAAATAAAATATAGCAATCCAAAAAAGAAAAAAACCTGAGTATCAAGTAGTATCAAACGTTCAGAAGAAATCCGAGGTTCAATACCAATTGTACAATGCCTAGCATTTGCTCGAGTTTCCTCGGATTGAATTGCAAATGGAGGTAACATTCCTACAACAATAATCAACCACCATTGATCATACTATATACTACAACATTAACCCATTCATAGCATTTCTCATAATAAGACTGATTTACAATAATCGAAATGAAAAGTTGGCATCATTTCCCTCAATTTCTTCACTTAAATAAACAAGCAATAATTCTACAATATATAGGAACAAATGTGATGATAAAAATTACCAGGAGAGGTAGGATCAAACCCATAAATCTCATTCATAATAGTCGATTTTCCAACTCCAGGAGACCCAATTACTCCAATTACAGTAAAATCAGTATTATCCGTCAAAAACTGCAATACCCATTAAAAAAAAAAAAATCAATCTTTCACAAATTTATTCCAAAATAATCAACAAAAAAAAAAAAAAAAAAAAAAAGCAGAAGAGGGAGAATGAATGATTAATCATACAGGAAGAAAACGATCAAAGTGGAAATCCCATGAATCGGAGAGGAGATTAAGGGAGCCAACAGGAGGAAGACGAGACCGAATTGAAGCTGCTGATAAAGAAGCATCGTCTTCTCCGGCGGAACCTCGGATGAATTTTCCGGCGGCGGAAGGACTTCCGGCGACAAGACCTGGCTTTGCTAACAAGATTTTTGGTGATGGCGATGATGGACCGCCTGCTCCGCCACCGCTGGAAGCCATTATTGTCCTACTACTGTTGAGCTCAAGTTAAGTTTTTAGGTTTTGGGATTTTTGGGAGTGTTTTCAATGTGAGTCTGTGATTGAAGTTTTTAAGTTGGAGAATTGGAGCTTGAGGAAGTGGAAATTGTAAAGGTGTAACATGAGGTCATTTTAGAGATTTTCATAGGAAAATAAATCAACATTTGTAGGACCCGTATATAATAAAAGTTGTTGATATATTTACGGAAATGCAATTAGATAAATATTTTTTTTTATTCTGAGGATAAACTTGTGTTTTCTGTATTTAAAAAAATTATAGTAAATATTGGATTTAGGGCCTATTTTATTCAGCTTCAATTCTGTTCAGTTCAGTTCACTTCAATTCAGTTCCTAATTTCCTTCTCTCATAAACAATTCATTTCAGTTCAGTTCCAATCAGTTCAATTCAGTTAAGTTCAATTGTTTTCAGTAAATCGAAACAGACTCTTACTACATCATGTACTTTGTTTTGTGTTAGAAGCATAGAATGTACTGCATTTTAGAATTATACAATGTACTTTTCCCCTCAAAAAAAATTATAGAATGTACTTCTTTCATTTTTTGTTAGATGCATCACTTTCTAAAAAAGGAAGTTTCAATTTAGATACATCACTTTTTTAAAAAATTAATCCTTTCGTCTCATAATACTTGACACAATTACCATTTTTGTCCGTCCCAAAATACTTGACACGTTACTAAATATGAAATGAGGCCACTAATAAAAAAAATATATTTCCTACACTCTCTTTGGGACCATAAACCCCAAAACCCAATTAAATCCTACATTTCTCTCCTCACTACCCCTACCTCCCCTACTTTTAGTTTTCTTACAATATAAAAATACAAAAGAGAATCTTTTAAATAATAAACAAATGTTTTGAATGGATTCACTTGTAGTTTTTTTAAACTACGTGTCCACCCCAACGTCTCAAATATTATGGGACTGGGGGTGTAATGAATTTTCTCTATCTCTTTCCTATCACACGGGTCTACTTTAATCTTTCTATCTAAGCTTTCTCTCTCATCTACAAAAATTGTCCAGGAGTCCACAATTTTAAAATGATGCAACTAAAAAGAATCGGAGGAAGTATTTTTCTAGTTAACCTCAATAAATGCAGTTAAAAATTGGCCAATCATCATTAGTTTAACGGAACAGTTCAACATAACTCAGAAGCGGGAAGCCGGAAATTGTCATTCAAGATAACACCAACAACCTTCAATGCACACGCAATTTCAACCTTTGGCAATATTAAAGCTTTCATAGTTGAAACACTTGCTCTCCACAAAGGCTTCCTTTTTGCGATTGGAAAATGTATCAAAAATTCAAAACACATTCATATTAAAGGCAACAATCTAATAGTTATCAACTCAGTTAAAAGGTTTTATGGCAACTCTGTGGCAATTGAATCATATTATTGCACACATATGACTTATCCTCAGCAATTTTGATAGGTCGTAGTTGGAATATTCGACTGTATATCGTGTAATCGTGAAACAAATTGAACAACTGATTGAATAACTTATATTGGTCATTTAATTAGTGGTAATTTGAATATTGTACCTTACAAACTCTATTTTATTTCCTATCTTAGTATCAAACGCATTTTGTAGTTCCCTTGCGGGTCTTCCTAATACTTTTTCATCCCTTTCACAAAAAAAGAAAAAAAAAATTATCAATCTAAATTACAATTTTAAAAAAAATAAAAACTAAGAAATTTTGGAAACATTAATTCCTATCACACCTTGATAAAATTCCAAAACTACCCATTTATAAAGACTACATGAGTGAGGATTTGGATAATTTGTAAATTTAAGATTTTTCTTTCATTCCTCCATGAATCGTCACTCCACTCCACATTTCTCCCATGGAATCCCTCCAATCATGCTTTCTCTCTCCAACTCCACTCCTCAAAACCCACCTAAAACCCCAACCCCTCTTCCCAAATACCCGCACCATAGCCAAATTCAGGTGCTCCGTCACCCCTGATCCATGGTCCCTCAGCGACGGCAACACCGCCCCAAAACCCCGCTCCAAAAACCCCAAAAACCCACTTTCCGACGACAACGCCCGTCGCATAATCAAGTCCAAAGCTCGCTATCTTAGCACGCTTCGAAGAAACCAGGGCCCTCAAGCTCAAACCCCCAGGTGGGTCCGCCGTACGCCGGAGCAGATGGTTCAGTACTTGGAGGATGACAGGAATGGTCATTTGTATGGTAAACAGGTTGTTGCTGCAATTCAGGTTGTTAGAAGCTTGTCGCAGAAAACTGAAGGTAGTTATGATATGAGGAAAGTAATGGGTTCTTTTGTTGCTAAGCTTACTTTTAGGGAGATGTGTGTTGTGTTGAAGGAGCAAAAGGGTTGGCGCCAAGTTAGGGATTTTTTTGCTTGGATGAAATTGCAGGTGGGTTTGTTTAATTGCTTTCTTTGTGTTTTGATGGCATTTTGATTGTGTTTTTAGTTGAATTGTATTGGATTTCTGTTGGGGTTTTTAATATTTGGAAATTTTGATGTGAGATTGTGGTATTGCTTATATTATGGTGTAGGCTAGAATGGTTGGACACGGGTATGTGTCCAAGTGTTAGACATGGCCGTAATATAATAACTTAGCATGATTTTGGTTTAGAGTGAAGTGTTTGAGTGTTGTACCCATGTCAGAGTGTTGAGTATCTAACATAGAACTTGAGGTGAATCCAAGGGTCAGACACTGCCATTTTATGAAAACTGCGCATGATCTTGGTCTATAATAAAGTGTGCAAGTGTCATACCCATCTCAGAGGGTATCGGTATCTAATACCGTTAATGAGGTGAATGAAGAGTCTGATTAACATAGTTTGTAAGAATTTAGTTTTAGACTTTTAGAATTTGCGAATTGTCTATTGGGGAGATAGATATATGTGCATGTCTTTGACTGATCTTTTACATGAAAATTATTGCTGTCAAGTTTTGGAATTAGGAAAGTTATGGTGTGCTAGGATTTCTGTATTCAAGAGTTGTTTTATCTTGGTTGTTAATGAATCTATAGGTTGGAAAATTATATGCTGCAGGGTGTGTTGCGATTCTACTCAACTAAGAATATCTTGACTGAGATGTGAGAGTTGAATGCATTGGGAAGCAGCTAGTGATTCACCTACTTTATCCTTGGAACAGTTTGATACCTTTGTTTTTACTTGGCTGAGCTTATCAGAGTTGTATTACGACAGTACAATTATGAATCTTCAATAGGAAATTTGGTGGACAAAGTTTTATCAAAATACAACTATAGTAAAGCAAGTTGTTGTGTGCAGCCAAAGTTGATCACTACTTACCCTAGACCAAAATGAATCATTTTCATTGCTTCATTTGATTTGAATAATGAGTATGTACTGAAGTTATTGATGCGCTTGGAACAGTTGTGCTACCGTCCTAGTGTTATTGCCTACACAATTGTTTTGCGTGCATATGGTCAAGTTGGGAAGATTAAGCTGGCTGAAGAGACCTTTCTAGAGATGCTTGATGCAGGGTGTGAACCTGATGAAATTGCCTGTGGGACTATGCTGTGTACATATGCTAGATGGGGACGACACAAAGCTATGCTATCTTTTTACATGGCTGTGCGAGAGAGGGATGTGCTACTTTCTGTAGCAGTTTATAACTTCATGCTGTCATCCTTGCAAAAGAAGTCACTCCACCAACATGTGATACAGATATATAAAGACATGATTGATAAGAGGGTTGTACCTAACCACTTTACCTTCACGGTTGCCATCTGTTCACTTGTTAAGGAAGGTCATTTTGAAGAGGGATTGAAAAATTTCAATATGATGAAAAGCCTTGGTTTTGTACCTGAAGAGGTCACTTACAGCCTTCTGATCACATGTAACATCAAAGAAGGCAAGCAAGATGAAGCATTGAGGCTTTATGAAGAAATGAGATATCAAGATATAATACCAAGTAATTTTACTTGTGCTTCTCTGTTAAATCTCTATTATAAGAATGGAGATTACTCAAAGGCACTGTCTCTATTTTCAGAAATGGATAGGTACAAAATCCGAGCTGACGAAGTCATTTATGGTTTACTTGTAAGGATATATGGTAAGCTTGGTCTTTGTGAAGATGCAGAAAAGACTTTTGAAGAGGCTGAAAGATTGGGTCTGCTTCGTGATGAGAAAACATATATAGCAATGGCACAAGTGTATTTTAGTTCAGGAGAATATGTGAAAGCTTTGCATACCATGGAGGTGATGAAGTCTCGAAATATACCATTCTCCAGTTTTTCCAATTCAATCTTGTTGAAGTGTTACAAGATGAATGGAGATCTTGGATCTGCTGAAGCAACATTTCAGTCTTTATCCAGTATTGGAGTCCCGGATTCAAGATCTTGTAATGACATGCTCAACATGTTCTTAAGACAAACATTGCTTGAGAAGGCTAAGAATTTCATTCTTCAGATAAGGAAGGACAATGTTATGTTTGATGAGGAGCTCTGCAGGACAGTGATGAAGGTATACTCTAAGGAGGGAATGCTTAGAGAAGCTGAGCAATTCATTGAAGATGTAAGTGGAAATGGATATATGGAAAATAGCAGCTTTATTCAAACTGTTTCCATGATTTTGAAATCAGAAGATGGGAAGTTTGAGAAAGAAAAAGGTCACTCGGTAGTCCCTGCTTCCCTTGATACTAATGCACTGGAGCTTATGCTTTGTCTTTATCTAGCAAATGGTAACAGAAATAAGATAGAATACACGCTTGATTTTTTACTTGGAGCTGCTGATGGCTTATCTGTTGCAAAACGACTCATCGGAAAGTTTATACATGAAGGTGAAGTTGGTGTCTTCTGGAATTTGAAATGGTGTTGCATCTTATTTTAGCGTATTATCAATTGTTCAGTTACAAACTCAAGCAATATTTATCTTGTTGAGTTTTTCTTGACGATTGACATTTTACTTGGTGTAGGTGATGCTTCTAAAGCTGAAATCCTCTGTGATCTATTAATTGAAAGAGACTCAAAGGAAAATGGTGGAATCTTGGCTTCAATGATTAGTTTGTATGGAAAGCAACATAATCTGGAAAAAGTGAAAACACTATTTTCAGCTGTGGTGAATTCTGCTAATTGCGGGGCCGAAATATACAATTCCATGATTGATGCCTGTGTTAAATGTGGTGAACCTAGGGACGGTTACCAGGTTTTCAAGGAATGCACAAAAAGAGGAATTTGTTTGAGTCCCTTTGTCATCAGTGTGCTTGTGAACCATCTAACAAATCGTGGTAGGGTATTGGCTCATCTTTAGTCAAGTTCTGTTCTTTTTGTAGTAGAAATGTATTAGTGTGTGGTTGTATATAGTTGATGCCTTGATCTGTTTCCTTCTTCTAACATAGTTATTCACTTATTCTGCCCTAGGGATGTATCGGGAAGCAGAGGATGTGATTAGCAGAAGTTTGCATGACAACTTGGTTCTTGACACTATTGCATATAATACATTTATTAAGGCAATGTTAGAAGCAGGTTTGGTTGGGGAGTTTTATTTTAAAGTCTTTTTCTGTCAAGTACTTCGATATAATACGAGAAAGACAATGATAGCTGATGCCTGGCATAATACTTTCACAGGTAAATTGCATTTTGCTGCGAGCATATATGACCGCATGCTATCATCTGGAGTTTCCCTGTCAATACAGACGTATAGCACTATGATCAGGTTAGGTAGCCTCCTCACTGAAAAAAATAATGCATTAACAAGGGGAAGGAAAGCATGTCTTACTTTCTTTTGGTGTATTATTATTTGGTTGGTGTAGTGTTTATGGAAGACAAAAGAAGCTAGATAAGGCCGTAGAGATGTTCAACATGGCACAGAATATGGGCATATCTTTGGATGAGAAAGTTTACACTAATCTAATTAGCATATATGGAAAGTCTGGTATGGTTTTCCACGAAGTCTTATGCCTTTTCATTTACTTGGTTTCTCCATGCATATAATCTATGCCCCATAAGTCTCTTTCCTTTTTGGAGCTGTAACTCTTTGCTTATCCACCATATGATTACAATGGAGAGATAACTTTTTTTTTGCAGGAAAAGCTCAAGAAGCATCTGCATTGTTCGCTAAAATGAGGGAGGAAGGCGTAAAACCTGGAAAGGTGAATTTTTCTATGTTGCTTACTTTTTGAATACTCGTTGTATTAAGAAGTGATTCATGACATTAAACCTTTCAGCTATGGGGAAGAGAGAGGGTGGATGTAGTTCCTCATGATATACGTATTACTTAGTATGATATTTGTTAAACTAATGTTGCCTGCCCCTGCTCTTCTAAGGGTGCTGATCTATGTCACTCCAATGTTGCAGATAAGCTACAATGTTATGCTAAATGTATATGCTTCTGTGGGACTTTATTCCGAGGCAGAGGAGCTTTTTAAGATCATGCAGCAAGATGGGCGCTATCCTGATTCCTTTACTTATCTTGCCCTTATTAAAGCTTACACAGAGAGTATGATATACCAAGAAGCGGAACAAACGATTGCATCCATGAAGAAAGAAGGAATACAACCTTCTTGTGCTCATTATAATCTCTTGATATCAGTCTTTGCCAAAGCTGGTTTAATGGAGGAAGCTGATCGTGTTTTCAACACAATGCTTGCTTCTGGATTAAAACCTGACGTTGTATGCTGTAGGACCATATTACGGAGTTACTTGGAATATGGATATGTGGATAAAGGAATTTCTCTCTTTGAAAGGATTCAACAATATGCAAAGGCAGACAGATTTATCATGAGTGCTGCTATTCACTTGTACAAAGCTGTGGATAAGGGTCATCAGGCAGATGTCGTCTTAAAATCAATGAACGACATGGGGATTCCATTTTTGAGAAGCCTTGAAATCGGAAGCAGGATAGGAACTTCCTAGAAGTTAGTGGACATATTTTTGAGTTCGAAATTGCAGTTCTTGTTTGTAGGTGAAAATTTTAGAAGATTAGCTAGAAATACAGAACACCAAGTATACAGTTTCCATGATTTTGTATAGTATCTTTGTTGGAACTCTTGGGAGGATGGTTGACTGGGTTCTATTGGTTTGTTGTTAAGGCTACTCTTTTTCATAATTTAATTGTTTCCAATGATAATGTATGCAGAATTACTTTGTATTATGGATTACGAGTATAATCATAATTTATTCTTGAACATTTGTACATGTATTTTATATATATTTTTTTATTAATTAATAGTAAAACAAAAACATGTAAAATCGATAAACTCTGCTAAGGACCCGTCGAAAATATAAAAAAAAAAAACTCTGATAAGGAAAGAACCTTCGAACCTTAAGACTCGATTGGGGCTACTAAAGGAGACCTACAACTCTACGAGTGCTCCATATGGGTCGGATTACTTCATCACTGTAAGATATTGATTTCTGCTGTATTGGGCCAACAATGAAACTGTAAATGGGTAAATGGATCTTACCTCAAAATAGTAGCAAGACCCAGATATCTCAACACCTTTCTTCTTCCAACTCAATTGGTATTTTTCTCTCTCCTCACCTTTCACTTTCTCTCTCTTCTTCTTCCTTCTGCACTTCGATCAATCAATTGAAGATGGCGTTGAGCTTGCTCAGAAATCTTGCTAAATCAACAGCTTTGCGTTCGAATGCTAGGAGTTTCTGCATCGTTAGCACTGAAGTCGTCATCTCTCACACTGATAAATGGATGCAGGTAAACCCTATGTTTTTCCCCTTTTTTTTTTTTTTTTTTTGCAGATTCTCTTACTTTTCTATAATTTTTATGCAATAATCATCTTTCTAATTGATATTAGATCTGTATTGGTTTTGATTTTGATTTTGATTTTAATTTGATTAAGTTTCCTCCAATTTTAATCTGTGTTTTCTGCTATATCAAATTAAGGTTTAGGATTATTGATTCTGACTTGTAGCCTTTTCGATTAGAACTAATGTTGAAATATTTGTGAATGTTTCTGGGGGTAAATTAGTGCAATGGCAATTAGGTGTTTAACTTTCTTCTAATTTTTCAAGTTGGATACTATAATCTTTTTAATTGTTTGACCAACATTTGGTTTATGTTCTATCAAATTAGAGACTCAGGTTTGACATTGACCTATAGGTACCGTGAGGAGAAATAAAAAGTGAAAATTTTGGTTTTTCTTTGTTAATTAGTTAAGTTAGTGATAAACAGGTTATTGATAAGATGGATTATTCAAGTTATTTGCCAATTTGAAATGAATGCCAGGTGGAAATAAAAGTTTTGTTCGTATAAAACACAAGACAATTGATGATATTTCGGCCTTAGTTAAGCGATTATTGTGTATAATTTTGTTAGCTCCTTGGAATATTTCTGAATCTGGATTGTGATAAGACAGATAATTGATAAGCCCTTGTCGAATGGTTCTTTCAAGGATCGATGTGTCTTCTTTCTCCTAGAACAAAGGAAATTTCACCTTTAATTGATGTGTGTAGTCCTTCGCTTGAGTCATTATTGTCTATAATGTTGTTAGTGATTGATACTTATGTGAATAGTTTATTAAACCCATGTATTTGTGTGTTTTGTTGTGTCTATAATCTTTTCATAGTGTATGAACTCAACCCATTTTCAAGAGCTTGAACAATGAAGTGGACGAGAAATTTTGGCAAAGCTCTTTTCTCTTTACCCTTATCCTGTTCAAAGTTGAGAGCCTTTATCTGATGACATTAGAAAAGTTTCCATTACGACACGAAGAACTACTCCTTTCCTTTTTAAAAAAAATAAAATAAATTTATTTGACAGAACAAATAAAAAGTATTCTTTTTGTTGAACAACTGACTGCAATTCTGCCTCTAAGACGTTAATCTTTAGGTTTTTCTAATTCTTTTTTATTTAAAGATTTGATTTGCTTGTGGAGTTTAAGGTCTGATTACTAGTTAAGAGCTTCAATTAGCAATATAGCATGAAGAATTACTACAGTATATAATTGATATAAAGGCTATCTGAGCTAAAAGATTTACTGTACCATTCAGTTTTTAAGAAAGAATCTGTTTTCTCATGATCATGACAATCTCATTGGGCTCTATTACCTCTGTAAGCTTTCATTGTGGTAATTTTCTTCCAGTTGATATAAATTTCAAGATTAATTTATGGTCACCTTTGGCCAAAAGCTCATGTAAAGGAGATGTTATAGTTTAAAGCCTTTTTTTTTTTGTGTATCTTGCTCTGGTTTTCTCCCCATTGCTCAATATTTTCACTGGCGATTTTGATATTCTTCTTAGCAATCTGTTCTACTTTTAATTTAAGCCATTGTAGCAATAGAAAGTCAGATTTCTCATTTATCATTTTTAAAAGGGCATCTTGTTTCCTTGTGGGTTGTGGCCCTTCATGCTGTATATCAGAACCACTTAATTATTATAAAGATGTAATCTTAGAGTGAATTTTCTGCTAACCCTTTCTGTCTGATAAACTAAAAAGAATCAAACAAAACCTAACCCTGTAAATTTGATCCTTGAAATTAGATTACCTTACTATTGATTATCTATTAGGTGGTGAATTCTTCTGTCATACTTTCCAACCTGTCTTTATTACAATTTCTCTGACTCTCTATTCTTAAAGCACACCACCAGCTGTTCTAGGATCCTTTTATGGTTGTGCATTGATATACGAGATATTATAATGTACTGCATGTTTACAGTATTCATTTGCTATCGTTGTAGGATAAAAGCAAGAAATCTCCAATGGAGTTGATCAATGAAGTACCTCCCATTAAAGTGCAAGACCGAATAGTTGCATGTGAAGGAGGTTAGATTGAGTTGATTTTTTTTCTTTTTTATTTTTAAATTTAATTCCTACTATATTAAGTAGACACTATGCAAAAAAATTTATGCTGACATACCACATAGCTTCGAAGAGCCTAAAATCATTAAATCAATTGACTTGTTCTATTGTGTTTTTTCTTGGTGACAGCTAAGAATCCTCTGGGGCACCCTGTTGAGTTCATATGCCTTGACTTAGACGCTCCAGCAGTCTGCAAATATTGTGGCCTGCGCTATGTTCAAGATCATGGTCATCATCATTAGAGCTGATTTACCATTTTGTGCATGTAATTCCCCGCTTGAATCTGAAATTCGGGGGAATAATTGTCAATGTAGTTTGCATTATTGCATCCTCTTTTCATGTAAGCCTTGAGTGCTTTGGCACTTTGCTTCACAGAATGCCAACAATTTGATTCAATGAACATAGCTGATGCGACGGAAAATAACGAAATACCTATGTCATTTTGTTTTCATGATTGTTATTCTTATTTCCTTGACAACCCATTAAGGTACCTCGTCCATTTGCAATTAATTGTCATTGCACAAGATATTCTTAATAATTTAGGATCCAGTTAACTTGTACAGAACCTTAAAAAATAATTGGGATCCAAAAATGTATTAAATTGAGATTTTAGAACCAATTTATTCATTTGATGTCAAAATTGTATCTGAATCAAAATTTTCTATAATGATTTTATTGTACAAAGTGTTAACAAGCACCATGTCATTTGTCAGATACATCAGAAAAAATAAACCTCTGGAGCCACGTTGAACTTCATATTTCTACACTGTGATGTTAAATATGCCAAAATTTCCCACAAATAGGGGCAAAATTATGACCAACATCAATGTGGATGATGAAAAAAAATTCCTGTGCTTAACCTATCCGTCTTCACAGCGCCAACAAAATAATAGCAATAATCTCAGCAATAAAAGATAATGTGCTTTGCCTATATAAGTCATCTACGATTTCATCGAGTTACTTTCTTCAGTCCCAGCCAATTTCTTTCTTTGTTGGTGTTCTGCGACCTTGTAATCTACAACCTCACGGAACAATTGAGGATCAAGGATGCAATTTTCACTGCCATAAACAGCTGCTTGAACTCCAGCCATTAGCTTTGCTATCTCTCTTCCTGAGAATCCCTCAGTCTTAGCTGCAGCCTCTCTGAGCAAGTCATCAGTCAATCCTGTAATTTCTATCTTTTGCTGCTGCTTCTGAAACAACTGTGAAAACAACCCAGGTTTTCTTGATCCAGCTTGTGCTATATACTTGTCAAGATAGAGTTTTAGCAACTTAAATCTTTCATCCTCTCCAGGTAATGGGAATTCGAGAACTTCATCAATACGATCACCCACTGCTGAATCAAGATCTCCGGGTCGGTTTGTGGCAAGAGCTAGGACTATGTCCTTGGACTGATCACCTGTTCGAAACAGGAGTGCATTGAGTGCACTCCTTTGAGCTTCACTCATGTACATTTTGTTTCGTCTGGAAAATGTCAATTAAGAGCGTGAGAACCAGAGGTAATAAATGGATCATGAAAGCAAATTACTAACATGCATGAAGGACAAGCCAAAACTCTTTTAAAATGGTGTAAGCAGAATCTTTTATGCCCCACGGGAAACCACGACAACATCTGATTTATTTTAGGGTTAATTGTACAGTTTCTTTGGGGGGGGGGGGGATTAAATTCCAACGCTGACAAATAATAGTTTGTATGTTACACAAAAAGTTCTGATGTGTAACTGTGATGAGTTATTACTGAGCATCAAAGAAAATTTCCAGAAATAGGAAGAGTAGCACATTAGAAATGAAGTAACTTACTCGCAAAGGAAAGCATCAGCTTCATCAATAAATAACAATAGACCCCTATTAGACTTCTTTGCCCAGTCAAACAGCTGGTGTATCTTCGTAACAGCTTGTGCCCCTAGCGGGGCAACATCTCCACCAGTCATCAATGCGTAGTCCAATCCCTGATAAGACGCAGAACAAAAAATGAGATCTCTTATGTACGCTGAAAGTTCAAGAAGCATAAATCATGCCTACAATTATTTCCCCTCTTTAATAAAGCATATTTTTGATATACGTTAAATCACAGTAAAAAGGAGCATGATTTGTCCTATTTTAAGGTAGAACAAGACCAGTATTTCAATTATGCAGGGTTAGACATATATGTCAAGTATTAAGAGTTAAAGACTATTAACAAGCTATATTACCAAAAAAAAAAAAAAAAAAAAAAAAAAAAAAAAACCTTGATCCGTGTTCCCAAATAACTCAAAAATTATACAGTAGAATATAATTTTGATGGATTAATCAAGACAATTCAAAGACAAATTGTACGAGTAAGATGCCATACAGATTTACGAGCCAGCTCTCGTGCAGCCATTGTTTTCCCTGTTCCTGGAGGGCCATAGAAAAGCATATTACGGAATGGTGCTTGATGAGCTTTTGTGTTTGCAGTTGCAGAAGCTAGCTGCTGGATTCTCTTCTGGAGAGAAGGGTGTAAAATAACATCTCCAAAACCATTTCCATTCTTGGAAACGTTTCCTCCAGTAGAACGGAGTGTGCTCATGAGACGGGGAACAACACCAGACCAGGGATATTTTCCTCTAGAGGATTCTCTGATTAATGATGGCTGTCCCAGTATCCTGTCTACATAACTCCATACTACTTTAGCTCCTTCTCTGCAAAATGAGAAACAAGAAAAAAAGTCTTTCAAAGATTGGAACACAGATTGGAAGTTCAGAAGGCAAAAGCCATATATAGCTAAACGCCTACACAACCCAAAACATGTGCATGTACCAGTACATACACTCAATCTCCCTCCAAAACTCCATTTTTTGGTCTTTTCCTTTTTTTCAAAACTTATTTACACATCTTTTTCTTCTACTAATGGCAGCAGTCCGCTTCCAATATGGACTATAGCTCAACAAAATAGAAAAAAAAAACATAGGTTGAATCTAGAACTCAAGATTGATAATAGTACAAACCACATACATACAAACAATCACATATACAATACAACGAAAATAGTCTACTCACTGTTTAGTCATAAGGAAAAATATATCAGTCACACAAACCATCACAAAAGTAGGCTGCCTTTCCACATAGGAGTGAGCAGAAAATTTAATTAATCACCTAAAATCATATCAGTGAAGTTGGTGCAGGGAAAAACATCATAAAAAAGCTGTAAACCAAGCTTTGGCCAGCAACCACTAGATGAAGCTCATCCCCCTATATAGACCATGATGGGATGCCTTGAATCAAGCACTTTGAACCAAGCATTGTGTGTGTGTGTTGGGGGGTGGGGTGGGGAATCTTAGAGTACAGTTTAAAATCTCTGCAAGACAAAACCTAGTCATTCTGTATTCAGTACTCTAACCTAATCAATATTTGTCCCTTTGCATGAGGACATAGCCAACAAACAGTTAGTGAACCCTGTCAACCTGTCATTATTTTTTGTTGATTTATTACTTAAGACCCTGAGTTGAGCTGGGCATGGGCCGTGCGGCACGGGCACGGCACGACATTGGCCCGGCACGGCACGATGACCGAAGAGTGGGCCGTGGGCCATGCCGTGAACAAAGTTTGGAAATTTCAGCACAAGCCCGCGGGCAGCACGCCAATTTCGGCCCGTGGCACATCCCGCCAGCACGGCAAGGCTCGGCTCGGTTAAAACGGCTACTTTTCAACGTTAGTATGCGCCAACAGCTATGAAACGGCTAGTTTTTTCCATTTCTACCGGTTAGTTTCTATTCCTAACGGCTACTTCATCTAATTCCCTATAAATACATCACTTCATCATCCAATTTTTTCCACAATTCATTCATCAACTCATTTATTCTCTTATTCTCTTATTATATGCATTGTTGCTTTTTGCTAAATAATTATAAAGATGTATAATAATAAAAAATAAAATTAATTATAATAACGGTTTTTTCACCAAACACCCCTGAGTTTTAACATAATTTACCAGATACCACCAACATTTTTAAAATTCACCATATAACATTCAATTTATGAAAATGTCACAACATGTCATTTCCGTTAACTCAGTTAGTCATTAACGTTAATTGTGCCACGTGGAAGTTTGTAATTGGCTATTTGGTTCTTATATTAATATTATTTATTTAATTAATTAACTTTAGAAAAATTATTTTAAAAACTAAAAAAAAAAAAAAAACACCACCATTACAAGCCACCACCGGCGACAACCCCGACCCCAACCACTTCCTTGCTGGCCGTCGACCATCCCCTTCCCCCGCCGGCGACAACCCTGACGTAGCCGCCACCTTAGCCGAATTCCCTAGCCATCACCTTCGTCGAATTCAACCCCTCCCCGCCTTTCCACCTAAGTCGAAAACCCAACCACCACCTCAAAACCCCTTCGCCGGCAGCCCAAACCCTCTCTCACACGTCGCCATCACCTAACTTGCCGGAAACCACCATCACGAAACCCCAAAACACTAAAATTGAAACCCTAGATTTTGGTTTAAGGGTTTCGGCGTACGTGGTGGTTCAGTGCGGTGGAGATGGCACCGGGACGGGGCGAATTCATTCGCGGACGCGGGGGAGGGGGTTTAGGCGTCGGCTGATGATTGGGGGAGGGTTTTTCGAGGGATATAGTGGGTTTTTCGAGGGAGATGCGGGCACAGTGGTTCAGGGGAAGGGGAAGGGGAGGATCGGCGGGGGGTTTTGGTCGGATTTTGCGTCGGCGCGGGGGTTCAGGTCAAATTTCGTGCCGACGGGGGGTGTCGGGATAGGGTGGTGGCTGGGTTTTTTTCCTTTTTTTTTTAATTTTTTGATAATTAAATAATTATTCTAAAATTAAATGATTTAGAAGGGGACCAATTATATGTTGCCACGTGGCAGTATTAGCCTTAATGACTAAGGGTGTTAACACCCATTAGTCATTAATGACATGTTGTGACATTTTCATAAAACTAAATGTTATATGGTGAATATGAAGAATGTTGGTGGTATTTGGTGAATAATGTTAAAACTCAAGAGTATTTGATGAAAAAACCGTAATAATAAAAATAGCATAAATAATTTTAAAGAACTATAATAATAAAAATAAGAATAATAAAAAGAAGTATAATACTTTAATAATAAAAAAACATAAACATAAATTAATAAAATTATTTATATAATATATTGATTTATAAAAAATAAAATAAAATTTTATGGGCTGCCGGTGCCCGGCCCGGCCCGGCACACCAAGCAGTCAGGTATGTAAGCCGTGCCGTGCTGTGGATTGGGGTGTGCCAATTGGTGACCTGGCACGGCACGGCCCGCCAGGATCCACGCACGGCACGACACAACCCACCACCAGGCACGGCCCATGGCGGCCCGACACGGCGCGATGCCCAACTCTAACCCTGAATCATGATCTAGCCCTTGCATGGGCAAACATAAGATGCAAATGAATCCAAAAGCTTTAATCTTTAGGGTCTTCCACCAGAGCACACAGCACTTTGAATACTGCATGCTAATATTTAGATAGTAGATTCTGATTCACGAACATAATATTCCCAATTAAAATGGAAATGTATATTGATTTGCAAGGAGGGGCAAGAGTCAATTCAGTCCTTAGACAAAGGTCTTCAAATCCTGAAGTAGTTATTCTTAATCTAAGACCAGGGTTGCCAAATTATCAATATAACTCCAATGTGAGAGCCTAGTGGATCTTACAGCTGACACTATAACTCACAAGAACAGGTACAGCCATTTTTAGGCACAGGGAGGCGTCCTATGAGCTAACAAGACTTTTATACATCATAACTTGAAACATTAATCAATGCACAGATGTGCAGTTTGTGCAACCCTAAGATACCTTTAAGAGGGAATACAAACAGAATTATACATGACTCAAACCCAAGCAATGTTCCAAGACAAACAATGCTTTAAAAACTTGGATGAAATGATTTAGCAGATAAGATACGGAGTATAAAATACTCAGATAAAGAATTTCAATAAAATAGTTATACATTTTCTATATTTCGCATTTGATATCTTTCTCTCTCTCTTTCTGATGAGAAGGATTGGTGTGCAACGTTTTCACTGACTATGCATGGGTTTTTTAACTTGAATGTACATATATTGATTTTCGAGCTCATTATATTATTATTCAATTTTCGGAAATATAAGATTATGCACATTATGTTCAACCTTGTGCAGAACTAAGTTCAAGCAAATATCAGTCCTTGTAAATAACTTATATGATCAACTCGAATATACCACCTTGAGCACATTCCACAATGAAACTACCAGGTATGCCTGAAAACTTACCCACTTGTATCAAAAACCATCTCAGCTAATGGAGAGAGAGAGAGAGGCATGTAAAGGGGTTAAGGGAATGCGAAGTGTCAATCTACAGGTGAATCTATTTGGCCTGTTACATATATAATTAGGTAGCAAGATAAGAGAACAAACTAAAAATAAAATGCAACCAATAACAGTTGGACAGCATAGCAGGAGTACATTTATGTAAAATCTAAGCTTCCAACAGACCTTGTGGTGTATATGCCAGCAGCGAGAGCAGTAACCCCGCCAACAGCAACAATAAGCTTATTTTGATCTGTCAATATAGCTCGGAATCCTCCTAAATAAAGTAATAAAGAAACAAAATCAAGCTAATAGTAATGGAGATAAGAAGCTACATTGAGGAAGAGGGATCAATATTTGTACAGCGAGATTGAATTTTCTATACATAAGGAGAAATAAACTGAAACTGAACAGACACTTGATTAAGATTTTGCACAATTTACTTTTCATAAATAACAATAAAAAGGAATTTGATTGAGCAAAGGAAATCAATCAAGCCATGCTCAAGCATGAAATAGCCCTGAGAACATGGCCACTTCATTAACAGAATTTCAGCACAAGACAATCCACTAAAAACTCGATCACAAAATGGCCGTATGGCACTGTAATAAAGAACGGAAAAATTATAAAAAAAAAAATAAAAAAAAAAAAGGAAAGAAAAGACATGATAACAACAACAAACAGAAACCGATATACGATACTTCAAAATTGAGACACAGGATGTACAAATAATCATTTAATGTGCAAAACAAATCAAACAAAGCAAAATAAAGACTAATAAAAATACCTCCAATATGATCAAAAGTGGTGTTTATAGCTGAAACCCATTTCTCTGTCTCTTTTTTTGCACGTTCCCCAAACAAACGTAAATTAACCTCTTCCAACAACTTGGCTTCATGAGCTCTCCCTTCTGCTTCTGCCATTGACTTTACTCTAAGGGTTTCCCGCTCTATTTCTGCCTTCTCTTTTTCAGTTTTGATACGTTGTGCCTGTATCTGCTCTTCTGTTTGTCTCCTAGCAGCTTCTACTCTTCTAGCCATCTCCCCTTGCATCTCCACAAGCTCCCGATTTCTAGCTCTTTGTTTCTCATGCTCTTCCTGTCAAAGGGTAAAATTAAGTTTCTCATACATAATTACATACACACTTCGATGGTAACAAAAGTAATCATATTACATACATCACTACGTTTCTTTTTCAATGAATCTTCATATTTTGCCAACTGCGATTTAATTTCTGCCGTTTGCTTATTCAATTTCTGCTGTTCTCCATACATCACTTTCTGCTTTTCCTGCATGAACAGAGAAACAATGCTAAACAAAATATAATAAAAGTCATTGAAAGAGGCAAACAAAAATTCTAACAAGATCTAAAACTTTAAAAAAGCAAGAAATTCCAATAAGCAAAATACACCACCAACATCTCCTCACCTTCTAAATCTCTACATACATTTAAAAAACCGACCCCCCCCCCCTCCCCGGGGGCAAACAAAATTCTAACAAGATCCAAAACTTTATAAAAGCAAGAAATTCCAATAAGCAAAATACATCACCAACATCTCCTCACCTTCTAAATCTCTACATACATTTAAAAACCGAAACACTCCCACCCCCTCTCCACAGCCCCGAGTTTATATAAGTTCACAGCCTTATTAACATCCTAAGGTAATTATGAAATTAACTTTCTGTTAGCCATAGACATATGATCACCAATGACGGCCATGAAGAAAATCCAAGTCACAGTTCAAAACTTACAGTGAAACCGAACAGGCCTTATGTCAACTTAATACGGTTTAGTTGCTAGTCTTGCTACCATTATTAGAGATATATGCTCATTAAATCAAACTCATCATCAAAAACTACAATGTAATTCCAACATTAATTCAGACAACTAAGTAAACAGTATCAAGAAAAACCCAAATAATTTACAAATTAAAGTTTGTCAACTTACTAACTCAGCTTGATTTGCCATTGCCTTAAGCTCTTGCGTCTTCATTTCAATCTCTTTCCTCTTCGTTTCTTCCTGCTCCTTTATTATCCCAATCACCTATAAACAGCAAAAAAAAAAAAAAAAAAACAACAAATTATTCACCAAAAAACAACAATCAAATAAAACTTCAAACATTGAAATTCGAACATATTTTAACAAATGAAATTTTTACCGTTTTAGCATCTTTAGACTTCTCAATCCGTTTCAAAGCAGCAACACCTCGTTCCAACGCCTCGGGATCGAACCCAGTAGAAGAAGTTCTGGGGTTATCATTTCTCGGCTTCCTTGGCTTCTCCGGCTCGTCAGACGGCGGCGCTTGCGGCGGAGCATTCCCAGGTTGTGGAAGCTGATTCGGCGAGTTTCCGGCGGAGGGCGGCGGAGAAGGAGAAGAGAAAGGAGGGAAGTTCAAACGAGGTTCAGCGTAAGTGTTATTGGAACCTACAGCAGCAGCAATTGCTGTCATTATCCCTGTTGCGCATACTTTCGCAACCGCCATTGTTGAACCTCTTCTTCTTCTTCAGCTTAATTTTCAGCAGTTTTGATTTTCTAGGGTTAGAAATGATTGAATTGAAATGGGGTTGAATTGAATTGAAATGGGTGGGTTTTAATTTGGGGAAGAAGAAATTGGCTTGATTAGCAAGAAAGATGAATTTGGAGAGAGAAAATGTGAGATAATTTTCAGGGTTTTGGTAGGGTTTGAGACATGGCGGTTTGGAATGTTTGAGATTGTGTTTTTTTTTTTTCTGGGGGGGGGTTTTATTTATACTGAACCGGTTTTTCGGTATTAAACCGGTAGATATTCGGTTTTCTTCCTTTTTTTTTTTGTTTTTGTTTTTGTTCTGTGTATTTCTTGTTATGGGCTTGGGCTATAAAGTAGAAGTGGCACAAGTACAAGACACTATCAATCTATCATTGTTGTTTGAAACTTGGAAGTTGGAACTTGTACTCTTGAAAGTGTATGTGTTTTAATTAACACGCATCTTTAAAATCACGATAAATTAAATGGGGCAAAAATTAAAGGATAAAGGGAATATATGTTAACGCAACAATCCAATTGCATCAACTAATACCATTTTGTTAACTAAACACCTCGTTCGGTCGTTTCTAGTGCATAAACTCTAAGCCCCTTAGATCCTAACACAAGTGTGGTACCTCTGGTCCCTTGGGGGGTTAATGCAGTGCTAAGACCATCCAACTATCCAAGGAGTACAATTTCTCTGCAGGGGATGCTAGTTAGCTTTAGTTGAATTTTTAAGAAACGGCATCTAAGTAGTAATATAGTATGCCTATAAGATTGTCCTATTTTCCTCTATGTATAAAAATGCATGTATGATTTTTCCTAGAAAAGTCTTAAATGGTTTGATAGTATTTCTTCAAATGTAGATGATTAACATATTAATAATGTCTACCAATATATAAATAGTTATCTAAAATTGTAAGTGTTTGCATTATTATCTCATGCACTTGCCACCCTAAAGCATATAGAATAGTGGTTTGGTCTACGTGTAAGAGAAATTAAAAAAATCCCCTAAACCCTAACATCGAAATTGCATCAAATTACCTCTAAAAAAAAATTAAAAAATGCACCGGATTACCTTTTCTTGTGATCTTAGATACACAAATTTATTATTAATATTAGTATGATACGGGTACATCATATTTGAATACTTGCACTATAATACGGAGTAATATATTAATGTTTGAAATACTTCATAATTAAAAATATGCCCTTATACTAATAGAATTACCAACTGTAAAATCTATCATTCCAACATCCTAAAGTAAACTTTGTATCTAATCAAGAAGGCTCCATTACATATACAACATGATTATGCATTTATGCCTGCAAGAAATACGAAGTATGTTTATTAATTAGTCAACACGTAAAAGCACAAGTTTGATTAGCGATAAATCAGAAGATCTTCATAATTAAAATATGGATTGCCGGAAATTAACTCATTTTCAAATGTATACAAGTATATATAAGTTGGACAAATAATCTCAACATGTACGTAGTGTATAGGTGTTTGACAAGTATCTTCGTAAAGAATAATTGTCTAGTTGTTAACATGTGCCTTAAGCTAATTAAGGTGATAAGTTTTTGCTCAACCATGTGCAATACTTGTGAGTTGTAATTTTGTGAAAGAGCCTTGTTTTGTAGGATTAAGAGGAACCAAAATTTTCAAAGGTTTATATATACTTCATCTGTCGCGAAATAATTACTACGTTTCTATGTGATTCTGTAAAATATAGTTAGATTTGTTTTAGTTTACTACTAGTATTTTAAAATTTTACTTGCGTATACTCGAAGATAGGAAGTATATATATTGACAAGCATGGAAGTTTAATGCTTTAAGCATATCATCTACTTCGATATGAAGGAAGTATAACATTAAAATAGTGCTTATATAGTTGTATATAATATAATGAGTAGTATGATGCATTACACATTTACACTTTTTTTTTTTTTTTTTTTTTTTTTTTGAGAACCTTACACATTTACACTTAAAGTACACTTTGACCACATTAAATCATTGATACGGAGGAGTAACCATGAAAAATATTATTGAACAGAGAAAGTAATAATAACTAACTTAATTGAGAATATATACTTAAAAATAGACACACAAAAACAAATATATATATATATATATATATACACTTAAAATAGACACAAAAATGTTTAATATTCTTGTTATTTGCATTGTTCCCCTGTATAACTTAATAAAATTATTTGCAATAATACATGGCCATAAGGTACATAAGTCACGATCAAAATCATAATTATTATTTTCTAAGAGTCTAAATCATCTATATGTTAAATATTTATTATTTTTTAAAATAAAGACAAAAAAAAAATGGGGTGATAAAATACAACTGGCAATATTCAACTACAAGCCTACATAATAATTTTCACAGGACGTATATTGCTGGATGATGGTAACCCCAATTACTGCGAAGTTCTCTTCCTCTTTAGCCTTTTGTTGTTGATAGATCTTGGAAGTAAGCACAGCATTGCACCACGACGTAACAATTCACATCAGCTGGTATACTTTTACGACGACTACAATTATACAATTAATTCACATTTTTAACAATCGATCATATGATTAATGATATGTTTAAACTGTAAAGGAAGGTGAGGCAAGGCGTGCTCGAAGCTCCTTTCTTAGAATTTTTCCAGCAGCAGACTTAGGAATGGCATGTATGAAGTATACTTTGTGAACCTTCTTGTAAAATACCACCTGTTTTTCAGAAATATTAAAAAAAATTACATTATTAGCATGTATAATCACATGGTTGGTGCATGGAATCTTGCTTAATCATATACAATAGTATATGGATAGCGAAACAATAATTAAGTAATTAAATACGGAGTATTATTAGAGTAATGTAATACGAAGTATTTGTTTATACCTGTTTCGCGATATATTCTTTAACTGATTCTTCTGTAAGATCAAGTCCATTGGTTGATCTAACAACAAATGCTATAGGAACTTCCCCTGCAGCTTCATCCTTTAGCCTGAAATTAATTTCGAGAACAAGAATTATTGACTAAAAAATCATTATTAATGAGAATAATCTAGTATTATTCCAAAAATAAGGCGGGCTGAAAGATATATATGACTTACGGGACAACAGCAGCATCCGCGATTGATGGATGGTTTATTAGAAGTGCCTCTAGTTCTGCTGGTGGAACCTGAATGTTTGACATACACAGAATCATGTTAATCAATTGGTACTTATTGTAATAAATTATTGGGAGTACACTACGACGTGGGAATTTAAAGGAAATATAGAATGTCTTGATGATAATACTCGTAGTAATAATAAGTACACTTGCCTGGAAGCCTTTGTATTTGATGATCTCCTTAACTCGATCAACAATGTATACTTCATCGTCATCATCTACATAGCCAATGTCACCTGTATGCAGCCACCCTTCGACGTCTATAGTTGCTGCTGTTGATGCTGGATCATTTAAGTATTCTGTTCAACCACAGATATGACATGCCCGGTTATATATAGTGAATCAACGCCCTAGCTAAAAAAGATGTACAAGCCACAACGCATGACTAGAATCACGTATATGTTTTTAATATGTACCTTTCATGATTTGTTCACCACGAATACAAATCTCTCCGGCCTCATTGTAACCAACAGAAACACCGGTGTCAGGATCAACAATCTTCATCTCAGCGTTCCTAACAACAATGCCACATGAGCCTGGTTTAGTCGGAAGAGGCTCCTTTGCGAATCCTGGGCACATCGACAACACTGGCCCTGCTTCAGTCATTCCATAACCCTGCATATCAAGCCATTTTGTGAATTGGTAAGATGTCATTCAATCATATACAAGAACTAAATAGTAGTCTTTGCTAGATAACCTTAAAGTCAATAACTTTTACATGTTTTTCAACTTTTAACCACTACAATCAGCTAATTTATCAGCCATTAACTACTCCGTTAGATAATTTTCAACTTGAAAGTAATTTTCAGATTAAAACAACTAGTTGTCTTGCACATTTTTCATACCATTTCCGTACCAAATGACAAAATCATAATCTTACATTTTACTAAAAGATATAATTCACAAGTCATTATCACGCTCGTAAACTTTACTCTACCAACAAGTAAAGCACAAAAGCGCCACCAAAATTATACATTTATACTCTATAAGATTCCAACCATAATCTCTTTTATCACGAGAGAAAATAGAGAAAGTACCAGTGTTGCTAGAAAAGATAAGGCAAGGTAGGCATGATATGTAATCCATTTTTTGATATAAGCTAATTATTTTAGTCAAGAACATGATAAGGAAATTATAACCAAACAATTATCAATAGTTTTTAAATCAAGAAATGTCCCAACTTGATTATATAAACTCATCAAGACTATATAGCCTCAAACAACTTGATTTAACTTGTCCAATTCATATTATATTGTTTTTTTTTTTAATTATTATTTTTTATTATATGTTTAACTATTGTGGATACAAATTATATAATAGTAGTTTGCTTCAAAACTCCAATATAATTGTTGTCAAATTATTATACTTCATAGTTTGTGTTACCACCTTTGAGCATCTTATAGTATGAGTACACGCAGGTGTTTATGAAAGAGGCATGTGTTGATAATACGACGTATCATACACATGCACATGTTTTACACACACCAACACAGACGATTTAAGGATACCTTGCTCCTGAGTGCACAAATCAGTTTTCCAGTTGACACGTGGAGAGCACCGAAAAAATATAGTATTACCTTGACCAATAAGCTCAAACACTTCTTACTAATCATTAAAATGCACACTAAACTATACTCCTTATAATTTTCATATTTGGTTAGACAATCTTTCCAAAAAAAAAAAAAAAAAATAAAAAATAAAAACAACTAAGAGTTAACGTACTCATAGTAAGTAACTCCTCTGTCTCTAAAAGTTCTTCTGTTATTAACATTTAAGAGATTAAAGGAGTTTTAAATCTTTTAATTATAACTCCGTATTAATGCATTGTTGTAAACCCAAAAAAAGTGTGGCGAGTTAGTTAATTTTTTAACTTGGTAGTTACTAATTTATGTTAAGAATTAAATAAGTTTTTATAGAATTTAGGGAAGGCAAAGGCATGCACAACAGCAAATAATTTAGTGGTAGGCAGTCAACTCTGAGATGGATCTAAATTAGCGGCCCACATTGGAATACCATTAAGGCATTAATTCCAACTCATAATATACGAAGTATTTTGGGATTTGTGATGTGTTCCCACTCTTCCCACAAAAATTAAATAATTCTATTTTCAAATTAAAATAATAATAAAATCTTAGTGGATAACACAAAATGGAAAAATGGTCTATGTATCGTTGAAATAATTAAGATAAGAAATCAGTGCACCCAAAAAAAAAAAAAAAAAAAATCATCTTAGGAAAAAAAATAGTTAGAGAAAATGTTGAAACTTAAAAATAAAATTAATTTCACAATGAATTATCCTAAAAGCCAACACCGGTCTTCAACATGCATAGACTAAGAATAGTCACTCCAAAAGTCCAAATAACATGGAAGTTTTATTTAAACATACATAACTATACAAGGATTCATATTATACAACCAGTTATACCATAGACATACGAAGTAATATAAGAAATTCATAACACTCCGTATTATAATTATGCTTGATTAAACATAGTACATACAACCGGTTATATAATGATGATGTACTCATTTTAAAAGCCTATTTAGAGTATTTACCATTTTGTACCATCTCACATAAGTTACTACTATAATTTCAATTCAATCCAAAAAACACCAAAAGCAAAATTAAATTTTAAAAAAAAATATATATATATATATATATATATATAATTATAATTAAATTTATACAAGTAATTAAGAAGAGTTACCTGTCCCAAAACTGCTTGAGGAATTCTTTCTCTAAGAGCATCCTCAAGCTCTTTTCCTAGAGGAGCAGCACCAGACATAACCATTCTAATTGAACTCAAATCATAATTTCCGACGGCCAGATTCTTCGCCAACGCCAACACTAACGGCGGCACCACCATTGCCACCGACACCCGATGCTCCTGAATCAGCTGCAACAACGAGTTTATGTCGAATTTGGGCATGATCAAAATGGCGCTCCCAGCTCTCAACGCCACCATTAGAACTGAGTTTAGCGAAAATATATGGAAAAGTGGAAGTACACAAAGAAGAACATCTTCGTCTGTTAAATGCATGTTTGGATTCTCACCATCTACTTGTTGCGCAACGCTGGTTGACAAGCTTTTATGGGTTAAGATGACTCCCTTGGGTAACCCCGTTGTCCCCGATGAGAACGGGAGCGCAACGGGGTCGCTAGGATCAAAAACTAAACCAGTTTCAGGTATACTTTCATTTTCATCCGCCTCTGATAAAACAGAGAAATGGAGGCAGTTTTCTGGAGGGGTATCAACAGTTACAACTTTGAAATCCTCCCCGATTTTAAACTCATTGTTTTCTCTTAATTTATCCACGAATTGAGATTGGGTTATGATCAATTTAGCATTTGAAGCTTTGACCTGCTTGAAGATCTCACAGGAAGTGTAGAATGGATTTGCTGTTGTCGAAACAGCTCCGATCATTGAAGCTCCAAAAAAACTGAACACAAATTCAGGGCAGTTTTGTAAAAGGATCATTACCACATCACCTTTCTTGACACCTAAGTTCGATAACCCGGCGGCTGTTTTCCGGCAGAGAAGATGGGTTTCCGAATAAGAGTATATTTTTCCGTTGGCGCCGGAGATCAAACAAGGTTTATGAGCAACCTCGGGGAGTTTTTCGAACAAATATTTATGAAGAGGAAGATGATTAGTAATGTTAATATCAGGTAATCTTGATTTGAATATATGCTCTGTTTTAAGATCCTCTGTTTTTGGAGGTGGAGTTGATTTCAGAGATGGGATTTCTGATTCAAGGGGTTTGGATTGAACAGCTGCCATACTCATTTTTTGTAATCAAGATTGAATTTTGGAAATGGGTTTTGTGAAAATTTTGGTTAAAAAGTGATGAATTAGGAGAGAGAAAATGAAGGGAGAATGGTGGATGAAAGAATGGGAAGAGAGTAGTAATAAATAGTAGGAAATGGGGGAGGAGAGTTAGGTGGGAGAATAGAAAATTCAGAGAGTTAGAAAATTTTTGGGGTAGCTGAATGTTTTTGAGGTTCTAAAGAGGTGGGCAATTTCTTAATGAATGAGGGTACGTACTTAGCAATATTACAAGAGAAATTTTCTGTTTTAATTGGTGTTTGAATTTCAGTTATTGTCTCAAATTGTAATTTTTTATGTTATTTTGCAGGTTGGTTTTGTTTTTAATTATTTGTATTTTGCATTATAGGACATTCCATTGTATTGAGTAGTTTTATGATGGCTTGTCTGCTAAAGTGAAACGGCCATGAGCCTTGGTCCGATTGAACACTTCATCTTATATAAAAATTACTGCAGTAGTAAGTTTGAAGATAAATCTAAAAATTACAACTAATAGATGGATGTAAGTTTAGATATTATTGGTTAAAATTAATTAAGTCAACTACTGTAAGTGGTTAAGAGTATTACGGTACTACTTCAGTCACATTTGGAGTAGGTCGATACCCATAACTTAAAATCAAATTATATATTTTTTTAACTAAATTTGTCATTTGTGAATCCTTTAACCAATCATCTAAAGTGGTGTGATAAAGGTTAGATTAATCTACAAATGTTAGTGGTTTGATTGTCTCTTCAATTGACTAGTTGTGTGATATTTGTACGTGTATAACCCAACCCCATCAAACCTCAAAAAGTACGTGGCCCTTACAATCTTACTTACTTCTTTCTTTCTAACCATTTGTATGAACCTCTTATCCTACCTACCCCAATTGGCCCCACCTCATTCACCAAGTTGATTAAAACGAAGTAAAACGGCACAAGAAATTCAGGAAACTTTTAATAAAACGCCAAGTATTACCCCTAATTTTGTTACTTTACAAATTTGAATTTACATGCTGCATGCTTGCCACATTACTGGTGGTTCAGTTGGGCACGGGCTTGGTTTAGATGCGGATCATCGGATCGATAAGAGCCCATTGCATGGGAGGCACGTTAATAGGTCATTCCAATTGCTTCATCTGTTTAGTTTTAGCTGCAACGTTTACAACTTATTACTTCCTCCATATTTTTTATTTATTTTCATCACTTGATGATGCACGGAGTTTTAGGAGAATTTTATAATATTATGAGTAGGTGAATAATTTATTAATGTGAGGGAAAACAAATATTTTTATTATATAAGTGGGGACCGTGAAGGAGAGAGAAATGATAAAATAATTTAAGTGCGGTTTAAAATAAGAGAAAGAAATGATAAAATATAGTATAAATTTACCAATAAGGAAGTGATGCATTTAAAAAAAAACCTCATTAAAGAAAAGTGATGCATTTAAAAAAACGGAGGGAGTACTATTCACATGTTTGCCTGTGACTATCTTTGGTGATTTATATATATGGCAAGATATAGTCAAGTGAATTCTTATTAGTTTCGTTTCGATTTATATTTTTATAATATTAAATTTTTCTAATTTATATTTATCCATGACTAGATATATGAAGAGTTTAGATTATGCATTGACAAACATAAAAGTCAAAGTGGTGCTAATAAAAGTAAACGGATTGGATAAAGTATATAAAATGTCGCTAAACATGGACTTCTGTATATATGCTAATTTAAGTTGCTAACTTATTTACATACATTTTCATTTGAAGGAGGAAATAATATCCATGAATCATAGGGCTGGTATTCCTCAACTTGACACAAACCTGACCTTATTACATGAAGTTATTATTGAGAGCAACCCTAATTCGAGCAACCTACATTCAACCAATTTGACTTCATATATCATATATTGTACTAATAATTTTTGAAGAAATATTTTGTACTACTATTAAATATTGTGTACACTAAATCTGATATTTTGTATTTTTTTTTAGAATGGCCCAAAATCGACCTGATATATATATATACATAACGTTGCCATAAGTTTACTACGAGAAGACGTGTAGTACAAAACAATAGACACAAGCTAGACAGCATCTTAGGAGATGAAGATAGGACCTACGTGCTCTTCCTCGGATCTGATAACGGGATCAATCTCTTCAAAATTTTCTATATTTTCTTTTTTTTTTGTTAAAGTCTTCAATCCCAACTAAATTATTTGTTCAAGAGAACACGATTTCTTAGATAAAGTCTTCCATCCCAACTCAATTAATGTACTTGATTATCATTTATGAATATGCGCATTGATAGATACATTCGGGTGTATTTGGATTTTGCATATACCTAGAAATGTCTAGCACACGCATTTATATGTGTTAGGAGCACTAGGCATAATACTCCATAGCTCATACATACAACACGTGGCTTGAATTTAACTCCGAATAGAAAAGTTAACAACAATGTATTTTTCCGTTTCTTTATATTTTTTTACATATTAAGTTTATGGTTTATTTTTTAAAATTTAGTACAAAAATTTACTATTATAAACATCAAAATCATGTACGATCTTATTAGATTTAGTTTGAAATAAATTTTCTAAATATCAATTTTTAGAATTTTTATGAGATAACGATAAAGTCACTAATATAACAAAGATCATCAATTTATTTGTATCAACAAGTAGACAATTACTTCGTATTTTCCAAAACATATGGTCAAGCTAGAGGCGGAGCCATCGCTAGGGCAGGAGAATCGTTATTGTGGAACATTGACAGTCATGTCTCTTAGAGACCTTTCTTATATTGTGCAAATTGCAGTAATATGTTCCATTTGTTCAATATTTTTTTACAAATGATTTTGATATACTTATTCACCGTAATAAAAATGTTACTCCCACTATTTTTAATTGATATTCCTACTTAATTTGAAATCCTTAAATTTAATAGAAGTATATAATACTCTCTTGATAAAAGTATAATTAGAAAAATATATAATAATCACATGAAATATCATGTTATTCATTTTATTGTGTAACTTTTTATAATACGTGTTATTAGAAAATGCCTAGAGGATTTACTTTTATTTAAATTTTTTGGATTTTTTTGTTCGAACTTTACCATAGGTAATGTCTTTTGCAAAGAATATATTTGATAAATTAAGTACGTAGTATTAGAAGTAACAGGTTTTTTTTTTGACGAATAAAAAAAAGAGAGAGAGAGGACTTGACTACTAATGTTTGTTAATTGTACACAAAGAAATATGGAAAAGTTATGAATTAGTGTTTGTTTTTTATTAATTTTAATATGTTTTTGACCTGCTAATAGTGTGCATATTATACAAAGAAATATGGAAAAGAGAGGACTTGACTTTGTTATTATTATTTTTTTTTTTTTTTGGAATAAGAGAGCAATTGACTCTTTACTTCAAAATTGGCGGAATATTATTTCTTCTCGCGCACTTTTGACTTGACTCATATACTACTCCATTAGTGCATCAGTAAATAAAATTCTGGCCAATAAGGACCAAGGCGTTTTTAAATTAAGAAATTAAGACTGAATTAATATTTTATTTTAATTTTAGTTTGTGTTAATTTGAACAAAAGTTATGAAGTAGTTTGTTCTATTAGTCCGCTTATTCATACAAAGTAAATAATACTCGACTTAGTTAAGAAATTAAGACTGAATTAATACTTTATTTTAATTTTAGTTCGTGTTGATTTGAACAAAAGTTATGAAGTAGTTTGTTCTATTAGTCTGCTTATTCATACAAAGTAAATAATACTCGACTTAGTTAAGAAATTAAGACTGAATTAATACTTTATTTTAATTTTAGTTCGTGTTGATTTGAACAAAAGTTATGAAGTAGTTTGTTCTACTAGTCCGCTTATTCATACAAAGTAAATAATACTCGACTTACTCGTATTTAATAACAATATTATTAGTTTGTCAAAAAAAAATAACAATATTATTATTCGTAGTATGAGATGCGTCAACATAATTGATACTTACAATATGTTAAAACAAAATGGAGGATGTGGAACAAGAGAGACCAAATATTTCTATTGGACATGTCACAAATGTTTTCTTAATAATTTGTTATCAACTCTAACGCTGATCGATAAGCCTTAAACAGTTTAATTGAACTCCTTCCAACTCGCCTGATTGGTAGTGCAACAAAACTTGGCAAATAGTCAAGCTCACTTGATCGGGAGTGTAACATCCCCATAAACTTGAGATAGTTGATGAAATCCGATCTTGACTTTGTGCTCGCCTGACAAGGCAACTTCATTCGCTCAGTTCAACCGGACAAGACACAAATCAAATGTTTTTACCATTTAGTTTTTACGTATTTTGTACAATTAGTATAATCATTGTACTAATGGTCCCTCTTGTTCTCATCTTCCATTTATATCAATTCTAATAAACTATTAGTTGATGGTGTGATAAATAGCGAGGGTACTAAAAAAGTAAAAATGCATATTGCATACGTATAGGTAGTTATTGACTAGTATAAATAAGCGAGGTTATTGAGTTGGTCGTATAACATGGTATCAAGAGTCAACGTGACACAAAGATTACGGGTTGAAATCTCATGTGAGAGGGAGTGATAGAGTATATAAACCGATCATGGGGTTCAACCATCAGCTTAAGATTTAAGTTGGTTTTCTGACAAAAAGTACTTTCGTTAATGTATAATAATACATTTAGGCAGAATACGTAGCAAGAAAGAAAGTAATCGTTGCTAATGTAAGCAATAATACGAGTAGCCTTTAATTTTTGAAAAACTGAACCAGTCCAGCGTTTATATTTTTCGAGTGGAGAACTGGAGTGTGGACTGTGGAGGATAATAATATCTCTACTTTTGACTACGTTGCCTTCATTCTCCTTTTTAGCCCTCTAAATTGACTATTAATTTTATAAATTACAAGTCTTGTAAAAACCAACATAATTTAATGTTTATACTATTTATATACTTACTTTGACAATATTATTTGCCTATTATTTTTGTAACACTTGTATATAAAATGTTGTTCAATTAGTCTAATTGTTATAAAAAATAAAGCATAGAATTGTGTACAAATTTTGAACTACATAGTTTGTTTTTTTTTTTTTTGGACAAATTGGTTTATATAGTAAACCTTACATAAAGAAACAAAGATAAAAATTACCAAAAAAAAAAAAAGATCAATCTTGATAATTAAGAAATATTACTTCATCTATTTTACGATTGATTGATTGATATTTATACTTTTTTTTTTCTCGACAGAGATATTTATACATTTTTATCGATTGCTTATAGAAAATTTTTGAGTAAACCTCATCAATTCACATTTTTCGAATTTATTTCCATTTTCTAAAGATGCCTACCAAAGATTTTTTGTCTTAGAACACATTAGATTTGAAATTAGTTAGATTTTCTTATTCGTTCATG